ACAATGAGATATACCTGAATAGTGGAATCATTGGGCAAGAAATGTGAAGATTTAGTGAAAGTAATAACCAGAAATGATTCTAAGAGTCTAGAATGACTCCTGTGCATGGATTAATTGCTCTTGAGAGATAAAAAAGTGAAGAGACCTGTAGCTAGGCCACAAACGGAGATAACTAGTGTCAGGTTGCATAGAAACAGAAGGCAGTCCTGATCCAGAGCAGAATATGCATGTCAGATAGTGACATGTGCATAAATGATACACAAAAGACTCTGGAACAGAGTCTTGAGCATTTAAACTACTATATTTGGTGTCTCTTAGAAAGTTTAATAGTAGCTTATTTAATTACTGCATTGTAAGAGTAGTAGACAAGTTTCTGACCCCCCACAGTTGCAGTGTATTGGTGTTAGGCTCAAGCCACACATGATCAACTAGCCCATGATAAACTAACATGGCTTCATGTTTGAGCCTTCTGTTAGAGTTCACTTTAGTGTACTGATGTTGACTCCCTGTGCTTCAAGGCTTTGTGTGATTTGCTCAAGAGTAGAATGAGGATGTATAAACTTTAGCTTGAAGCTGAGGATTACCAGTGAGAGCAAGCTCCTTAAATACTAAATAAGGTCTGCTAATAATACTACCTACTTATTGTATATCTCTCTGTCTTTATGCTCATTGTCCTGGAGCATTGTTACTGTACATAAAAGGCTGATTGTGCATTGTTGAGCAACACTGTTATGTCAGAAGACAATGACAGATTTGGCTAGTTGTGATGACTAAGCCTTGTCCCATGGTCTTAAGTGCTTGTTCTGATGCTCTGACTAAGCATAAATAGAGGTTAAAAGAATAGAAAAGAATAGAAAATCATAACAATTGGGCATGAAGGCCTTGCACTTCAACTCTGGGTTTGTGTTTGTAACTTCAGATGAGAGAATAGACCCATTATTGATATCATTGAGAGAGATTTGAGAACTGCACAAGATACAGAAGCTTGCAAGTGACTGTAATTCTATTTAATCAGAGGTTTTGAATTGTGCTCTAGTCTGAGAATAAGAGAGCAGTGTCTGAAGGGCACTCTTTTAAGTTTTTGAGGTCTTTGTGATGCAAGATGCTACAGGTGGCAGAGGTTGAAACCCTTTGAATCTGTGGATGGGGTTTTATTGTGTTTTTTGTGTCTGAATCACATAGGTTTGAATGCTGTGGGTCTATGATCATTTTAGAGACTCATGCACAGTGGTTTGAACCCTTTGGCACTTGTGGATGTATTTGTGAAGTGTTTCTGCTTAGAGCACAAAGCTTTGCATTGTGTATTATGTGTATTAGGGATTTTGAGTTGATCTGAGTAGTGCTTGAGACTATTTGAGAGTTTTGTGGAAGTGTTTCAATGTATTGTATTGAGCTACAGTACTCTTGCCTTGAGGTCTGGCAACTTTTGTTGCCACCTCTTGTTTTTAAACAAAAAGCTTGAGACTTAGAGAGATCTGAGATGGTTATACTCATGCTATTGCTATTCAGGCACAGTGGATCCCAAGAGAAACAATTATACTTACTATAGTTATTCTTATCACATTATAATCCCCTAATGAATTAAGAAGTATTGTGTACATGTTGGTGTGGGTGTGATCAGTGGATAACACTCTGCTGTGTCAGTTTTCATCTTATGTGCATGCAAAACCTCTTCAATGGATACACATATTGCTCCAGAGTCACCCACTCTCTCTTAGCTTTATCTTCTTCCTGGCTGACAATAAGTATCTATGGCCTGTATGCAGAGTCCAGCAAAATAATTTCTGGTGTCTGTTATAGAGGGTGGCACTGGACAAAGAACATGTATGTCTTTACAGCATTGTGGTGAAATATGCAATGCAGGACAGATGGAATATTGACAGATCTGGTCTTGTCATCTTTGCCATCTCAGATCATATCTTGGTATCTGGTCCTATGAGCAGACAGAAACAAGACAAGTTCTGCATCACCATATGTTTTGCTGTGAATGCAGATGGAAGTGAGTGGATGCTAGTTGTTTTCATTAGAAAGTCAAAGTGACCATGGTGTATCAAGAAAAAGAGTCTGATGGAAATGGGATTCTATTATTGAGACAATAAAGAGGTCTGGATGATGAGCAAAACTATTTATGGAGTGGGTAAAGATGTTTAATTTAAAGATGAAGAGAAAGATGTGGCAGGTTCTGCTCACCTTGGACAACTTTTGAGGGCATTCCATCACTTATACACCCCATAACATGAAGCTGGAGTTCTTTGAGCCCAACATGACTTTATATGTCCAGCTGCTAGATGCTGGTGTTATCTGCTGCTTCATGGCACATTATCAGAATGCTATGTGTACCCATGCACTTGATCTTGACAATCTTGGAGAGCCTGAGATCTTCAAGCTTGATCTCCTTAAAGTTATGACCATTGCTCATGATGCTTCTGCAAAGGTCAGCAGCAAAACAATAGCAAACTGCTGGAAACACACTGGTATAATCCCTGATGATGCACTTGAGTCACAGTCCACCACACCATCCCATGATTTCCAAGACACCTCTCTCCTTAAGTCTGCATGGAACCTTGTTCAAAACTTTGCCTCAGCAGACAAATGCATGCTTTCAGAGATTGAACAGGCATTGCAGGAACTGCTTGGGAACCAATATGCTGATGCTGACTGGCATCCTGCTCTTACAGCTGTTATAAATGCAGAGAATGATGTCAGTACAGCACTAAAGGCAGTCAATCAGTTGGCCCCTTCATTACAGTCAAAAATGAACACACCTCTCACCCAAATTTCCCCCATTCAACAGGTCTAGACAGTAGATAAAATATTGAAGGATCACCTTGTCTAATTGAAACAATGAAATTGCATCTTTGGTTCCATTCCAACCATTGAAGAGATGGTTAACCCTATTGCAGAAGAGTATATTGAAGATCTTGAGGCAATGCCAACAGATGAGGAGATTGTTGCTGCTGTCAAGCATGATATTGTAGTAGAAAATGGGAAGTAACTGTCACAGATGATGAGGAGGAGGAAGAGGAGGGTGAGGAAGAACAGATCTTGATAACTACAAGGGAAGGGTTTGAGCTTATTCAAAAGCTGAAGGCATTTTTTGTTTCACAAGGTGACCAGGATGGATTAGTACCACAGCTAAGGAAGTTGAGAGAAGCATTATTCAAGGAGATGCATGGAAAGCTGATCCAAAAGCCACTGACAGCCTTTTGGGGTGATGATGACATTGTCACATAATGTCACATGTCACATCATATGCTATTTTGGTTCTGCATAAATCTATAAATGCATATGGTTTGGATGTCTCCTGACCATATGCATTGTGAGGTAGTCAACTGTACTCAAGTTATTTCATTGCTGACTGAGCACAAAGACTCTGGTGCAGTGTAGGAACTTACTAGAATACTATAGAAATATATCACTTGTAGTATATAAGTAGCTTGAATTTTTCCAATATGAAGGAACTCGCTACAAACTCCAACTACAGTTGTGTAATACAACTCTTATCTCAATCCCAAACCTCAACAACTTTTGAGGTCTAAGGATACAAATGCAACTAGACATTACATGAACATATCATCAAGCACCTCTTCACCATCAACAAAACAACCAGCATCCAAAGGCCACTCCAGTGCAGCGCTACCAATTGCCTATTCTTCTTCCAAAGCATCCTCAGCATTTAGCAAACAATGTTTCCAGACACTACTGACATCTTTACACAGGGCAAACTTGAGTATTTGGAGTGCCTCGACAATGTCTGCATGTAGGCGGTTACGAAGCTTATTAATCGTGACACCGGCAGCTGAGAACACTCGCTCGTTCACAACAGACGATGCCATGATAGGTAGATAATCGAGCGCTATCGCTGCCCATACGGGAAGACGCTCTGAGTTCAACTATACAACCTTAACAAATGAAATGGGCACAGATGGGAAAAAAGGACATACACCCCACCATGTCACAATGGACTGATCCTCATTCAAGTGATCCTTCGCGTTTATATACTCATTGTATCGTAATCCGTATCTCAGAACCAAATACTGTGATTTAGCAGGGTTTCTGATCGACAGTAACTCAAATATTGTGGATGTGGTCATACGACGAACGTTGGAAAGGTTCTTCTCTGAAAGGTCAATACACAGAAAGGCATATAATGCTTGGATGGCCTCTGTAACGTACCGCGCTCTCGTTTTCGAGGTTGCATATGCTATTGATTATGGGTCTGGAACTTCCTACACGCTGCTGTTCAAATGAATGTTCCATCGGAATTGGAGCGTGGAATACAGAAAGTGATATCTATCAGGGCACGATACATATCCTGTCGGCGAGTTCAGCTCAGCAGTGTTACATCGGTGAAGATGTTGATTCTGCTAACCAGCGTCGCCGTACTATTGACTCGGTATTCTGATGAACACGCAAATCGGACAATGGTTCATTGTTCCCGGCACATTTCCCTGTTGTCTCACGTCTTCCAAAAACCAGCGACTGGCCTCCGCCCTCTTATGTGCAAGGGAAGGAAAGCCGTTAGGGAACAAATTGGGAAAACGAGGGAGCATATTCTACGAGAGATATTGGTCATTCGAAAACGTGCAACGAGAGAAGGCGTACAGGATCCAGCAACTCCGTACTCGTAATCGAACGCCACGCTCAAAATTCAGTCTTCAAATTTGAAGCGGCAGTGATGTCAAGTTTCCAAACAGCTCTCCCAAACATCCTCGGATCTGCGAAATATGAGATTGATTGACCTCCGCCCGTACTAAGCGCTAAACACATACGCAATATCGATAACGGCGGTAAAAAGGAGGTTGAAGTGAACATCGCGAAAATCAGCATCCGCGGTTGCCTGATTGTTCACTAGCCACGAGCCATGACTGTGAAACATGATGACATGACGTTATATCCTATCCATCCGTGACTTCTCGCGGGTCTACCAACATTTACTACGGCCAGCCATCTCTTTTGGCGACTTCATGCACCTTTCATGTCAGAGGCGGTAAGGCCAATCGATCTTTGCCTTTCGAATTTGAGGGGCCCATTATGCTAATACCGTTCAGTGGGACTAACACTACGGAGAGCAGCCAACCCTTGAAGAGGAGATGCAGCAGAGGGGATAGCAGACGTACCCGAAGCCTTCTCTTCCTCAGAAGACGATCTCTGGGTAAACAAACGCCTCGCGCAAATGTAGATAGCTGTAATCGAGGGACCCACAAGCTCAACGGCTGATTCCAACACGGCATTGCAGCTTCAGTAGCCGACCTGGCCGGAAATACCATAATCAGACGAACCATGGCCAGCAGTTTTAGTAGCATACCACAGAATTGGCCCCCCTTCAAATGGTTATCGGTAATTTCCCAAAGATTTCGCCTAAGGCCTTCGTTTGCGGTCGCATCGACAGCTGAAAACATCGAACTAAGCGGTTTGAACCATAGTTGGTGCCCTCCTGGTTTGAACACATACAAATGGACAGTGCGAATAAACCCGAAGGCGAGTGCAGAGAGCCAGTAAAATCCGAAGGGTAAAGGGAAGACTGGAATATGCAGGTGCACCAGCAAAGCAAATCGAAAGACAACAAAATACTCATTTTCATCCATCAAAATGCATTCTTTGTACACGTAAAACCAACATTTTCGAGTCCGAAAGCAATACGATAAGAAATGAATCAGACAAGCACAAAACAGACCTCCACACGTGCAGAGACATCCTCTCCTCCTCACCAGTTCTCACTTACCCCCTCAACGCCTTCAGGATTTCATTACTGAGATACTGAAAGATCCCATCCTCGACTTCCGACGGGAACATCTCAATAAACGAGCCCCTCCTAATCCCATGCACAAAGTACCGCAACTGTCCACTCTCATCTTGCATGATCCCCAAATCCATCCGGCAAAATGTCTCTATCGAGAGCTGTCCCTTGAACCACCGTTTCTCCAACCGAATCAGCTCGGCTAGAGTACCTTCGGCGAACTTCCTCATCTCTGCATCGGCCTGCTCCAGCGAAGCCCGAGTCCCACCTGACCTATGCACGAGCTGGCCATTGCTTCTGCGCGCAAATGTGCTGTTAGGTGGTTTGATGAGATATGAACACAGGGAAATAACTTTGCACTTACTTCATCGTAGCCAAATCCCAGCCTTTCGTTCTCAGCCACACAGAGCGGTACGAATATTCGTCTCGCTCCACTCCGTGCACCTCCCGCAATCCAACCTCATCCATCGGCATAACATAGAACACACACTTGACCTTCCCTTTGATCATGAAAACGTGCCATTCGACGTGTCGATCTAGCGAGCGGACATGCTGTTGCTTCATCCATCGATACTTGGGGTGCGCGGGCAGCTCGCTAGGCGTTACGCATGCTTCGACATGATCGAAGTTATGGCTCCCTTCGCGCCTGAAAATCCAAGACCGAATATCTATATTGTCGTCGCGACCATCGAGTGAGAGGAGGCGTGTTTCTGGCCGTGGCGTTCCCATCTTGTATTTAGCGATGTAATCGAGGTCTCCGATGAGGTCGAACTTCCCTGCCGCCCGCAGCAGTTCATTGACGGTACCAAAGGTGGCGTTGATTTTATTTAAAGAGTGGAGGAAACGCTCGCGTGTGCTGGGGTCTTTAAGCCCAGGGACCATATCACTAGGTGCAGACAATAAGTATTGCACAATGGACAGAAGTGATAGCTTACAGAGCACCAGATAGATCTACACCTCCCCAGATTAGGTCCGCCTTGATAGTCCCTAGGAAGACCCGGTCTATGAAGTCACTCCATGACATGAATGCCACATCTGTAAAGCTCCTACGCGACCAGTAGTACCCTAAGAGGACCTACAACAGAATACCATCAGTGCAACAATTCGGAAATAGACCGAGATCACCCACCAACTGATGGATCCAAACTCCCGAATAGCCTCTTCGGGGCTTAACGCCGTCTTTGAGATCCTTCAATGGAATTTCGTGAATAAATCCCTTGATCGCTTTATGCGTAACTAAAAGCTGGACGTCCGTTCGCGGCAAATTGACCTTCACCCAGAGAGAGTTCGAGTTGATGATGGTATGAGTGTTTCCCCACACCTTCGCATTTGGCGAGAACGGGTTGGGAGGGCCGGGTACGACGAGAATGTGCTTAACGGTTCGGTCCACGGGTACGTCTGGCACCACCGGAGGCGGTACTTCTCTCCGTGGGCAATAAGGAAATGACGGACAGGCTAACAAAGGGATTGAGTCATTTTGTCTGGATATCGGCAATGAAAACGAACTTACAAGGCCCAGGTTTCTTCCTAAGGATATCAACCAACTCGTCGGCGATGACTCCCAGAGTATCAAAATTATCGTCGATACCGTGGATAGGGACATTGGCGCCCCTGGCAACACTCATAACCCAGTACTGCAAATGCCTAGACCTCGATGATCGCATCACCGAAATATCAAGACGACAAAACAATGCAATAGAGGGTACATGTCCTAGGATCTCTGTCTCGCGCTGGACGAGCTCCGCCAAGGTACGCTCCGCGAAGTCGATAAGCTCTTGATCAGAACGGATGCGGGACTCCTCGTCGTGAGCCGTCAAATCTGGGAACTCATCCTCGTCCTCTGGCTGAGCTCTTAGTCGTCCCCTTCGTCATGGTCAGAAAAGCTTCGGTACAGAAAGACGGGAACACAAACTCGAGCTCGAACAGCGGACACCGACTGTACTGTGTCTCCGCAACCCAACTGTTATCAAGTTCCTTCCTCTTCGACACCCTCACTTTCACGACCTCTCCACCGACAAGGAACACCCGCCACTCGATGTTGTATGGAACGAAATCCTGCTGGAGCCAGCGGTACGTCGGGTGCTGGCTCTCCCTCATCGCCGAACGGTAATTCGACGACTGTATCTGCTTTGGTAGCAACACATGCCGTTCGCAGTGCGAGCCTTCGCGTTTGTATATCTGGCCCGGGGCTTTACTACCTACGACGGAAGTCTTGGGACGTGGCGTCGAGGTCACGGATTCGGCGATGGAGTCGAGGCTCTCGATGACGCGCAATTTTTGGGCGGCGTACTCCATCTCGTCAATATCGGGCAAGACAGTGGTCTTTTTGCAGAGTTCGCGCATTCCTGAGACAAATGTTCCCAGACGGTCAGGAGAAGCGAGGGATGGGATTAAGGACCTGGGTACGAAATACGAATGTCAGAGATGGCAAAAGTACAACAGATCTGTGCCTACAGATCGTCGCTTGAAGGGTCCGTGAGACGAGCAATGATGCATGTATACTGGTTAAGCTTTACAAGCTCGGATGGCGAGGAGACCTTTTCGACAAAGCATTCGATACTACACCTCGTCACGGAGATGAAAGGAGTATCCGGGAAGCGAGTAATCAGGAGTGTCTTCTCAAATCTATCAAAAAAGCGCACTGAACACCAAATATCACTCACCATGTAATGCGCATACCATTGCCCCCATTTCTGGCCCGTCGCCAAAAGCGGGGCTGACCCGGGGGCCAGCCTGAGCGGATATATGAAACCACGACAGTTCTCATCCTTCAAAAGGTCGGCAGATTGTTGAGGCGAGCAGCGCATGTCCTCCCACTCGACTCCCAGACGGTTTTCGTGGGCGTGCCACGAGTTATGCGGTCCTTTTTCGGGTTTGGGCCCCATTACGAGCAAGATCGATATTTTGCGTTCCCAGGGCATGTCAACACCTCCGGTCTTAGAGGCCTCGGTGGAGCTGTTTTTGTAATAACGTTCAATCGCGTATACGAAAAGAGAAGAGCCACTGAAGAACTAATTACCTTGGATGGCCTGACGCGTCGCTTGAAGGTGAGCGCAGCTCAATATCGATTCGAGGAGATTGAGAGTGCCTAACTACGCCGTTCTGTGGCGCTGTTTCCTGGTCTAGTGCAAGTTGAGATGCGGCAGTATCCCCCATTGGAGAATGAGATTTCCCTGCACTCGGCCCTTCAAACAACATCAGAGATAAGTAAAATGCAATTTATTTCGATAACACACCTCCGCTTGGCTTCAAAGAAATTTCTCCGCCTCGAGGAGGAAGAGTATCTGCTTCTGCATCCATTTCCATCGGTTCTCCGATATCTCCGTTGGTGTCAGAAATATCAGTCCGTGTTCGAGGGAAATCATCAGGACTGGAAGATGCCTTTCTTTTGAGTGGGTTTGAAGCCATTTTTTTTTGACTCTTGTAAGCTAAGAGTCGATCGTAAAATGCTAAATGGGAGGTAATTGTTAAGCTTCAACGCGCACGTGGTCACGTTGGAAAAAGGTCCGGACCGGATGATCCTTACCACCCCACTGGCAATTGGTCTACAATTCACAATAAAAACAGAACTTCGCTTGGACACATGCCTTGTTCCGAACAAGATTCCAATCTTTGCTGCGCGCATCCTCATCCCATTCATTGTCGAACTAAGACATCTTCTGAGATGGATCAAGAACTGATAAGAAATGGCATAAGGATATATGACGAATGAATACAGAGCACTTCACTGACCTGAACAAATGATATAGGCATCCGAGTTTTCGACGCGAAAGTAATGGCGTTCAATAGCAGCTAGGCTGACCTGGATGGCCTCAGGAAACGGAGCATATTCCAGGGCATTGAGGCTTTTGCTGAGATTGCGATGGAGTCGCTCGAGTGCAGGTATAACAAGGCAGAGGGTGGGATACCCTTCAGCAGAGAATTCTTGCTGGGCATCATCAAAAAGCTGTAATGAAAAGCCCGTTAGCGAAGGCCCAGTGTGCATGCCACTACTCCCCCAAACTTTTGGGGCAGCCAGTCCATACCCGGCTCACAGGGCCACACGCACCGAAAGAAGTGTTGTGAAGGACCGCAGTTTGTTCCATTCATCCGTCGTCATCTTCAACGACTCTAACTTCTGTGTCTCAGCTTCATCTTTTTCATCGTCAATCAACTCCTTCAAAAATCGCTTTACTGCCTGTAACTATGTTAGCAACTCAAAATTATCGCAACGAGCCTTGTCATGCACCTCTTTCAACAGGACCCCATGATAACACATCAAGAACGTCGATGACCAGCGCACGATCATGTCAAGCTTGAGATGCTTCGGCCGTTCTATCTCAGCGTGTGGATCTTTTGACAGTATCATTCGATTTCGAGCTTCCTGGATGTCGATAAACTTTTGGTGGCAACCGCCGGATGAGCTCTCCTAGGGAAAAATAAGTGTCTCTATGTTTTCATATCCTTATCTATGTCCTGACCTTCACAGTAATCGCCCGAATTATCCCAACTTCATCATGGCTTTTTGGATGATGGGCCTTTGGGTTTTTCGGATCAAAATATGGGGTCTTGCTGTACGTTTTTATTAGCTTCTGCGCCGCAAGATTGACAACGTCATATTTGCAGCCGATCTCCCTTTCTTTTGCTTTGAAGTTTATATCCCCTGCTTCCCAGACAAGGCACTCATATTCAACCATCATGACACCATTAACTGGGGTATTATCCCGTGTTACATGTCCAGACTGTAATGTATGTCAGGCAAGTATATACCACTGACATGGATAAGATTTTTACCTTCTTCTCTGTGCCAGCTCACTCGACCACCTTGAATAAAAGTTGTCCCAGACACTTGCTGGTGTGTGCTCCTACAACACATGGGAGGCCCAATAATGAAGTCTTCATCACCCATGCCTTAGGCACCTTCTCCTCAATATAATGACCTGTTACAGTGAAGTAGCTGGTATGGTGACACACCCTCTCCATGTTCAGGCATGTAAAATTGCAAAAATTGAGAATACATGGACTGCATTCCAGTCCAGTAAGCATGTAACTGAGAATAGGATAAGAGTGCACAGAAACTGAGCCATCATAAGGCTAAACTGAAGTAACAATGGGCAGAGTGCATGGCCTAATAACAGACTAATACCAGAGGGGTTAGACTGCATGTGAGGTCCCAGCACTTGGCCCTAAATACACCAATACCATTACAAGGGGACATGCTAAAAATAAAAAGAATATGATCAATATGATCAGCAATCCTGATCACATTGATCAAGGATGTACAGCCATTGATGCACTGATGGGACATGCTTTAGAACAGAGAACTGAGACCCAAAGAAAGGTATCTGAATAACTGGGTGTTGAACAGAGAAATGAAATGATGGCAACAAAAGAATAGATAGAGGAATACTACCCTCAGAGATGAATAGCACATGTACTGCTCAGAGACTTGCATGCATACTTACAGTGCCTTAGCACACTTAACACAGCAAGGGACTCTGCATCATACTAAGGTATGACATATACCATATTGGGTAAGTTAATTAATGCATGTCAGGCCAGAAGCAGTGCATTTTATGAGCCAGAGAGAATGTTGAGACACTGGAAAAGAGAACATAACTATTGTGGCTGACTCCAGACATGAGAGATAACCCCAGGAGTCCAGAACAGTTTACCACTGCCAGGGATGTGTCACTGAGAAAATAAGAAAGTGAGCAGACCTGGCTAGGCCAGCTAGCCAAGGTAAGATAGCAAGGAAACATTGTGCAGTCCTGGCCCAGAAGAGACTAAGCATGGCAACTGTGATATGCACATGAATAATACCCACAGGATCTGGCACAGAGTTCCATGCTTTGAAGATACCATAGTAGGATTGTATTAGTAAGTACCACAGTAGAGTATTTAAATATAGCATTGTATGAGTAGGATACAGGTTTCTGACCCTCACAGTTGTGGTGTATTGGGCACAGAAAGCCTTGCACTCTAGCTCTGGGTTTGTGTTTGTAACTTTGGGTCAGAGAATAAACTCATTATTGAATATCATTGAGAGAGCTTTGAGAACTGAGTGAGGCATTGAAGCTTGTGAAGGACTTGAGCCTGGTTTGATAAGAGGTTTTGGATTGCACTCTAACCTGAGAATAAGAGAGCAGTGTCTAAAGGGCATCATCTTGAGTTTTTGAGGTATTTGTGATGTGCAGCACTACAGGTGGCAGAGGTTCAAACCCTTTGGTCTGTTGGATGGTGTTTTATTGTGTTTTGTGTCTCTGAATCACATAGGTTTGAATCCTGTGGGTCTATGATCAGTTTGGAAACTTGTGAACAGAGATCTGTGCTCTTTGGCACTTGTGGACATGTTTGTGATTGGTTTTTGTTTAGAGTGCAAAGCTTTGAGTTGTGTATTGTGTGTGTTAGGGATTTTGAGTTGATCTGAGCTGTGCTCAGGACCTTCTGAGAGTTTTGTGGGAGTGTTTCAACATATTATATTAAGCTGCAGTACCCTTTGCCCTGAGGCCTGGCAACACTTGTTGCCACCTCTTGTTTTCATAAAACAAAAATGTTAAGCCCAAATTCCATGTGACCTAAACACATGATAAACTGACACTGCCTCACACTTCAGGCAGTGATGTCAGAGTCCACTGAATGTGTTATTTGGTTCTGTGTTGTCAAGGTGTTGCAAGTCACTTGAGATAAGATGGTGAAGATAAAACTTTAGCTTGAAGCTGGGGATACTACAGCAAGAGCTACACTACTTATATACTAGTCATCATCTGTTCTATAGATATAACTACCTAATTGTGCATCCTGGCATAACAGAGCATTTTGTCCAGTGTCGTTAAGCTACCTACAAAAGGGTATTGTCTGTCATCAAGCAGTTACCATCACATCGAAGAACAATGACCAACTGGGTGTGTTGTGCTGACTAAGCAAAGATAGGGTTAATCCCTCAAATAAAAGATAAAAGTAGGAAAAATCATAACAAAAAAGCTTTGAGACTTAGAGAGATCTAGGACTGTTGTACACATGCTATTGCTGTTCATGCACTGTGGATTCATTGAAGAAGACAATTATATTTGATGATTACTACTTTTATCACATTATAATCCCCCCATGAACTAAGAGTTTTGTATGTATGTTGGTGTGAGTGTGGTCAGTGGATAGTGCTCTGCTATATCCATTTTCACCTTGTGTGCACTCAGATCCTCTTCAATGGTTTCCCACCTCCCATATGTCACACATTAGTGACACTTGCCCCTTCACCTTATCTGACTAAATCATAGTGAGCATCAAATATTTACATCTGTAACAACTTACTGTGAAAAGTTTTTTTAGGCCCAAAATATATTCCTGTGAGTGCTGATTGTAGCCTGCCCTTGTGGCCACTCAGTTTGGGAGATATACAACATCAGGATTAGAAGCAGCTGCTGCCATCTGAATGATTGCAATGAATCACTGGTCCTCAAGAACAGCCATCAGCTGGAGATAGATTGATTCATCATGGAGATATTGCAGTGAGAAATGTTACTTGCCTGGTCTGTAGCAGCTCCCCATCCTAAGCAAAGTCGCGTAAACCCATCCTTCAAGTAATGAGAAGCCCTTGGAAGACGAGACCGATCCACAGTCTGCATGAGGTTATCTGCATTTTTCTTCCGTTTGAGATCCTTGGTCAATTTTGATTCAAAGTTATGGCTGTTGCAATACTTGTAATAATTCGCCTGTTTAACGTGATTCATCTTTGTTCTGATCACTTCGATAGATGTCGCTAACCTTATGAGCTGCTGCCATGTGCTGCCGACATTTTGTCACATGGGCTGCGAAGACTTTTCTATATCGAGGTCATAAGTCAAGTTTGTGTGTATATCTGTGGCATATCCTCACTTGCATAGACGACAAAGACGTTTTTGGGGAAACTGGTCTTTCAAATCCTTAAAGAAATACCTCACATCGGCCGTTGCTTCAGGTTCGGGTTCCTTAATAGGATCGTTCATGGGCAGGACCGGTAGGGCCGATCTTTTGACGACCTCGTAGAATCCATTATCATCAACAGCATTGGGATCTGCTAGGTCAAATCTCTCGGTCAATGGTTCTGGTTCTGAGTAGAATCATGGGTAAAAGCCGAAGCAATTATATTAGATACCGACCTTGTGCATCGTGAACTGAGGACTCTGGACCTGTTTCCACATTGTCTGTTCCGGAAGAAAAGTGCACAACTGTCGAATTTGTCTTTCGCTTTTTTGGAGGATGTTCAGTCTCTCCTAGAGTAACAGAGGCAGTGCGTTTATGAGGAGTGATAGTGGGTGCTTCAATATCAGCATTAAAGTTCAAGGGACATCTGCGGCGCCTTTTACGGCGATGTCGGCCAACGTTATTTTTCGGGCCAGGCATAATGGTAGGACACGTAACGCTGCGAGTTTCCATGAAGGGAACAATTAGTCGGTGGAAACCATTCATCTCTAAATGTAGACATACCTGGATCCCCAGGATAAGTTGGCGGAGGGGGACACCAAATGAGCGGTAGTTAATGGTTATAAGAGCAGAGCGGGGTATGAAGACAACGACATTGTCGGACGACTTGGGCACGACGTATCCATGCTGCGGTATGAAGAGGGGAAATAGTGAAGGGAAACATTGGGATGATGCGAGAAAGTTCATTTCACGACAGACAGAGGGAGCGTTGGTCCCCCGGTGACCACATGAACTTTAGGGCAGGATTACCGTAGTTCTCCATCTGTCCATAGCTACAACCACGACTACCAATAGCTGTTCCTAACTCTCCGTCTCGGACCTAGGCAACAGGATCAATGATTCTTCCAAACATGTATGGCAGTGATGTGTTCGTCGATCCTTGGAAAAGGCACAACGCAAGAATGTGAAGGACCCTATCTTGTTTGAGAAATACATGAACCACTTCAATGAAATTATTGTATGTTTTCCGGCTGCAATTTTTTAATGGCGGCATGTAATTGTAGAAGGCTGTTTCACAATAGCATCTCAGTAGTTCCGGAATTCCACACAGCAAGGCGAAATGAGGTGTGGAAGTCTTGACTGAACCCCTTGTAGCAGGCTACATCCAGGTGCTTTAATTATTGCTAACAGGAATGTCGAACGTCCTTACATGAACAACTACTTGAATATGAGAGATCAATAAATACAGGGAAAGGGATTAATGAATGTTGAACATTCTTAACTGATCAGTACTCTCCTAATACATAGATGACTTGGAACCTGATGTCGATTTTGGAAAGTGTCATAATATCTGGAAAAAGCACGTACATTATTGAGTTCTATGGATGGGAGGGCGCGATTGATCTTGGCTTAGAGGGGACTTGGCTTCGCTTCAGCAAGGATTCTTTCCTTCTTATGCTAGAGAGGTGGAGATGATCCATACTTGGAGTTTATCCGTCCAAAGGTCTGCTGGACCATCTTCCATAAGAAAGACGGTCAGAGAGTAATAGGTCATAGAGAAGGATGACTTACATTGCTTAGATTCAGAAATCTCCTTCTTCCACTCCTCCTATTCCCTATGGACCTACCTGTAGAGGATTTCATGCCACTAGGTGGCACATTGTCCATCGTCTCACACGAGAACCTCGCCCTGTAGCTATTACATTGTCCTCATTATTTCTTGTCTTTAGTTTACTATGTTTGTTACATTGTCTTCTTTTACATTTATGTCACCTATAAGAACAGCAGTATGTAAGTAGATATGGTACATACATTGGAGGGCATCTCCCCATCTCCCCATCTCACTCCTCTTGGAATCTCACTCCTGTTACACAGCTAACGGCGACCGAGCACCTACATATCTATATATCCTCCAAATCTTCCGGACGGCTGAGGACCCCACCTCCTACCATCAATTCTTGGGATCCAAATCAATAGTTATGGCAAGAGTTCATTGTCACATCACCATGAGTCATTGTGTTTCTAACATTCCAAACTTCGAGCTTTGCAGACACAGTACTCTCCTTGAGCTGCTATACTCCGGGAAAATGTGTTTGTAACACTGTCGCCTATATTGAGATACCCTCCCGAGAGTTATCGAAGAAACTTTCAGGAAAGTTTAGTGGTAGGTGATGATATCAGAACTAGGGTACCGACTTATGAAGAAATGCCATGAATACATTGCCCCTAAATTGCCGGACCACCAACTCCCAGATGCTGGGCTCGTGGTGTAATTAGAGGACGACTCCCTCGATGATTATCCAGGCTCCAGCGACAAAGAAGATGATGGCGAATTGGAATTTTCCCTTTCAACCCAAGTGAGACTGGGGAAAATCAAGAGGACCAAACCTGAAAATTGAAATTCATCAGGGATATCGATGAGAATTAAGAGTAATAACAACACAAAACTCAAAAGATTCTACATTAACTTGATTAGGACCAAGCCTTGGGCCTGGCAAACGTCTAGGCGTGTACTTGCCGTGGCGTTTCGCCTTTTGTATTAAAGGAGGCTAGCCTAAAACAAAAGAGGAGCCGTAAAATGTGACGGACTATGGGAGGAGTTTTCGACATATTTCGGGGGAATTCACTATACCATGCGATGTCACAGTAAGGAAATCCCGCACCGGGCGAGTTGGCGAAGACGGCGTGATTTCACGATTACCAGGCGAGAAAAATGCTGAAACCTGAAACTGGCCCGACGGTCGATTCGCGTGCCTGAGATATGAGTTCATTCTCCCAAGGCGCCCATTAGCGAGTAAATGGAGCAGCTGGGGAGGGGGGGTCCAGGCTCATCCAGAACAAAAGCATTTTGTGATCGGGACCCGGGGACGATCGACACGTATGAGCTCGTAATTGTCAAGACGCGTAAGGGGATTAACTAACAGGCTTGGAGTCATAACATTGGTATTCTTAAATTAGGCAGACTGGACAGTATAAAGGCAGGAATAGTAAGTAGTGGGGGCAAGTTTTCTGGTCTCCAATTAGCGGGAATAATGTTAAGGGCTTCAAGTCATAGACTTAGTATAAAAATAGTTTAGAGATTGAATTCGTAGCTTTGGGTGTAGTTATTAGCAAGTGTCTGAAAGTGTTTGGAATTGCTAATGTGTTCTAAAAGTGTATCGAGAAACAAACAGTCAGTCAGATCACTAGTTTCTTCAGCTTACCTTAAGCAGTGCGGAATCTTTATATCTCAGAGACAACTCACTGCATCTCTATGTACATGGATCTATGAAATCCTGATCTGGTCAAATCAGACCTTCATAACCATTATATTGCGCACCAGGAAATCCATCTAAGTACAATGCTTTCGAGTTTTGATCATCCTCCCTCCCCAAACTTACTTAGTGTCAATCCCATTCATACTTGCGCTGTAAACAGCCCCTTTACCGCCATGATAATACTTATGGTAAATTTCAAGAGACCACAACGGTGATCGAGAAAAGTATGAACGGTGAACCCGGGCCGCCGCCGGTCTCGTTGGCCCTTGTTAATTCCGGTATGTTTTTTTTTTTTTTGTCCTCAGCATTTGATTAACCGCAACAAGTAAGCTAACTACTAAGACGCGGTGGAGGTACAGGGCCTCAGGATCCTCTTTCCCTCTTGTTCCAGTCCCTCCGTTCTTCCTTCTGAGTTCCCCGGGTGTTTTGGCGTGTAGTGTGGAGTAGAGTAACGGACATGTATGGTATTTTGTGCCCTCGTGGTGGGCTAATTGGTTCGTTTGATCCTGCGGTTGGCTGAAGCCTGGGGTGTTTTGCGAGCATGTCTTGAGTGCTGGCTGTGCTGGACATGGTCTATGGTGTGGTGGGTGCGCGGCAGTTATCCATGCTCGTCTTCCGTGTCGCCTTCTTCTTCTTCCCACCATTCTCCTCCTCCTTCCTCTTCTGGCTCTGGAGCGAGCTTCTCGTTTTGTGGTTGTCCCGTCCAGGTGAATGCTCCCGTGTTCTCCATGAACTCGCTCAGTGCTGTGATTCCTTCCTTGGTGCCAAGGATGTCTGGTAGGTAAATAGTCCTTGACACATTCCGGAGGATCCCCCGTTGTTCTTCGTAGAGGGGGCATTCCCGCAGGATGTGTTCCCGTGTCTGAAACAATTCTCCACAAGGGCAATCAACGTTCTTACTTGGCACGAATTGTGAGTAGTACTCGCCTATGTATCCATGGCCTGTTCTACACTGAAGCACTCTGCCAAATAGCTCTCTTTTTGCGGCAAGGTCTATGAGGTGGGGTGTCGGCTTCAGTGATGGTGGAATTCTATTTGCCGTCACGTAGCGTCCCCATTTAGGGCTGGCCTCCCATGCCTTTCTCCACTCTTCCAGCGTTGTTGCCTTTGCCTCCCTTCTAGCGTTGGCCCTTGTTCTGCCCATTGCTTCCGTTGTTTTCTCTGCTCCTTTCTTCGCCAGATAGTCTGCTCGTTCGTTTCCTACGATGTCTTTGTGGCCTGGGCACCACGAGATTTCGACTGTATGCATAGGATAATTCCGGTATGTGCCGCTTCATTCCATACTTGCCTCTTACCATCACTAGCGTGCCTGTACCTATCCCACTGGCTATCGCAGCACTCTCAACTGATTATCGTGAGTGTACTTTCGAGTACATGCTATCAATTATGAATGAACACAGGTCGTTACACTTGCTTTCCTCGCCCTTGGAAAAATTAACTACGTACGTGCTCTCAGTCCTCGATTACAACCAGAATCTGCTTACAGGGGCTTTTTCGGCTTTGATTAAGCACCTAGAACTTCTGAAACGCCTTGCCCCTCTTACCTGTGCTTCATTCTCACCAGCGCTGCCTATCTACAGTCCATCATTAAATGGCAATTTCCTTCTGCTTCTTCTACCTCAGATTTTCCTTTTTCACGAACCATTCAACGGACATAGTTTAAGAGTCCTATTAAGAACACATGGAGCAGTTCTAGGTGCCAAACGAGGACCTTCTCTAGTGTGGAAACGTGTTGGTCTAACCGCTAAAAGTGGTGCTTCTGCCGTTTCTTGAAATGATGTACGTCGATATGAAAAACATGTTCACTTGGCAATGCTATGTGTTCTCACGGACGTCTCATTTAGGCTAGCGTTCATCTCCGTTTCTCTGCATGAAAACCTAACTTCGCCATATCCGCGAACCGGTGTCTCCGTCTGTCGAAATAACTCATTCGTTCGATTGATTGTCAATAAAGGTCCTCTCGTCCTCAAGCTCAATATTCCTCCGCACGGATTTCGGTGATAATTTCCCCTTATTTTATTCACTGTTCAGCAGTCTAACATAAATGCAGGCGAATTCCTGTAGCACAACCGTTTTCTTGAGCTCAGTCCGTTTTGTCGACAGATACTGGCCAGTGGGTGTTACGCAGATACTTCACGTTCCGCTGTGCAGAGTAATTCTTTCCAAGGTCCTCGGAATCTCCGAAACGTATCAGAACCCCAAGATCGTTCTCGTTCCCCCGTCCATCTCTTGCGCCTCTGCGGCGGAGATATCCCCTGACGATGACGAAGGCGCACCCATGGAATATCGTATGGAGCTTTCTCGCCACGATATTTGCATGTACTTGGCTTTCCGTGTATCCGAACATTCCGGAGAGCAAAATTACTCAGAAGGGAGGGATTTCCTGGGCTATTGAAGGCGCGAATGTTTTGGATGTGGCAATTTTGGTACTAGAGGTCATTGTTGCTTGGGTTATGTAGCAGTTTATGGTAGCCTGGAGGGTGTACCATGGTAGGTTTTTCATATCGCCATGGGTTTTCCGACGCTTCCGACTCACAGCGGAGGTCGTAAGGAAAGGATTTTTCTATTTCGTCAGTATTCCATGCTCAAAAAGAGGGAAAGGGCGAAGACTTCCTCGCAGCTGCAGGCCACACGACTCGGAGTCCCGACGTTACTATTGTTTCGGGATTCCCGTAGCCTCCGTCGTCTTCGCATCGTAAGCCGCCTATTCCTTCCTTCCTGCTCCTTCGTATCTAATTGTGAGTGCAGCGAGTAAACTTGGCTAACATCTGAGATCCCTGTCCGGTGCGGTGTGCCAAACAATTGCAAATTTTATGGACCCGGATAAATACCCTAGGCGCTTTCGTCGTGTTGTATCTCTGTATTTCTTATCGTATGGCTTTCGGACTCGAAAATGTTGGTTTTACGTGTACAAAGAATGCATTTTGATGGATGAAAATGAGTATTTTGTTGTCTTTCGATTTGCTTTGCTGGTGCACCTGCATATTCCAGTCTTCCCTTTACCCTTCGGATTTTACTGGCTCTCTGCACTCGCCTTCGGGTTTATTCGCACTGTCCATTTGTATGTGTTCAAACCAGGAGGGCACCAACTATGGTTCAAACCGCTTAGTTCGATGTTTTCAGCTGTCGATGCGACCGCAAACGAAGGCCTTAGGCGAAATCTTTGGGAAATTACCGATAACCATTTGAAGGGGGGCCAATTCTGTGGTATGCTACTAAAACTGCTGGCCATGGTTCGTCTGATTATGGTATTTCCGGCCAGGTCGGCTACTGAAGCTGCAATGCCGTGTTGGAATCAGCCGTTGAGCTTGTGGGTCCCTCGATTACAGCTATCTACATTTGCGCGAGGCGTTTGTTTACCCAGAGATCGTCTTCTGAGGAAGAGAAGGCTTCGGGTACGTCTGCTATCCCCTCTGCTGCATCTCCTCTTCAAGGGTTGGCTGCTCTCCGTAGTGTTAGTCCCACTGAACGGTATTAGCATAATGGGCCCCTCAAATTCAAAATGCAAAGATCGATTAGCAGAAATCTTCGTATTTATGTTCCTACGAAAAATTTGTGAGCTTTCTGGTCCTGTCGGGGTAATCCTGCCTAAACAGGGATGGTATGGTGCGAAGACAAGAGGTACTGGTGGGTGACTTTTCGCAGCAGCAGCAGTGGTGGTGATCGTTTACTGGAGCACAATGTAGTGGGAATAAAGTGGGAAAATAAAGACGCAAAATTCGCCTTGGTTGTTTGTGAGAGTGTACTTAGATGCCTGACAAACACCGAGACAATGTTCAAGAAATTCAATGTATCGACCGTGATCTATAGAATATGAAATGTAACATTCATAATAATTATTCTTCCTTCTCCAGCGAATGGTAAACTCGGAATCCGATAATAATTTTCTCCCGTCTTCTTCAACATTCACGTACGCAGCATCCCGGAAACAGTCATCTTTGACGTCCCATTTCAAAATGTCCTCGGCATTGTAGTCGACGTTCACAGGGCTTGGATCATACAGGTACCTAGATGAACAGCTATTTCAACGATTCGACAGCATTCTCTATCAGATCATTGCTTATCTCTCTATTCACAAATTCAACAGATCTTACCTTGACAATTATTGGGGGGTTAGAACATGGTTCCAAAGCGTACTTTGTTTTCTCGACTACATGTTATACCGCTCTATGTTCCCTCATTGAGGAGGTATCTAGCTCATCGCCACTCCGGACACTGGGGAGGTCGTCCCAGATTGATACGGAACATCGATATCACAGCTAATCAACGGCATCTCCCATGAGCTCTGGTCTCCTGACATGAAATCTGACCGGGTGGAGCTTCGTTCCTCATGCAGGAGAGCATCCGCGTGTCAGATACTCGATGCCAACCTCTAATGCCCCGCGAAGAACTATTCTCGGACTCTCCTTCTTTGTCTGAGTCGGTGAAGACTTTCCAAAGCAGTGACATTGCCATCGATGAGTTGTAGCAACACAGCCTATCTCGTGCATTTCGCAACGGCCGGATGTTTTCGCTGCATCGTTGACGACATTTCACCCCCGCTGTTTAATCTCATCCAAAGACGCCTCGCATCCCACCAGTGTCAGAGCTCTCTAACAAGGAACCGCGCGAAATAACACTGACAACGATCGTCCTCGGGCTTGAAGTGAGCGGGATGCCAGGGATAGGGCTTATCCTTTCGGAAGTGGTGCTGTACAAGGAGAAGTACATGTACTGACCAGCACCAGGAAAACGAACCATTTCACCCACAGTAAACAACGATGGTTTAACGTCGGCAAAAGGCGTTACCGATGTCTACCAGGGTCTATGAGAAGTCACCATAACCATCACGTCTATGGCTGCCACCTGTAGTAGTGTGAAACTATTACAACTTTCCCCATCTAAGGTTATATGGGGTTATTGCAACCAGACAAACTAGAGCCGACTGAGCCTGATTCGGGGCCATCCGCCGACTAGGACTCAGTTGAACGAGGCGGCCGCGGCATCATCACAGAATGTAAGTGGTAATTCACTTTAGCCCACACCATCGTACTATTACTACTAGTCGCTAGTAGACTCTGATCTTATAGTTCGGTAAACTTGAAGGAAAATCCTCAGCCAGCACTGCTGCCAGTGATGCTGTTTAACTAGTTAGATCCCTCGTTCTCCTGCTCTGGTCAGGGACAGTTAGTACTTCTTACAGAGCATTGTGAAGTCGCTTTCATGCCCAGAGACTAGGACTTTCCATCGTCATTGCTCTCTAAATCTTACGATGCCTTCCGACACTGTGCAGAAAAATTGGCCGCCGGGTTTGTCATGATATGGACAAGGAGTTAGTTATAAAATGTTTTACAAGTCCATCAACTACCACTACCGAACTCGTGGCATGCAGAAAGATGCTGACCATAACACACTACGGGCCATCCCTAGAATCAAGAAATACATTGTGAGGTAGCATGGCTACTACCATCCCAATTTCTCCTTCGTCCATGCCCAGGACCTGCCATTCTAGTCGATGTTGTCACACAACCTCTCGCCGCGGTCCAATCCATTTATCTTCACCATGTCCTCTTCATCGAGAGTGGGAAACTGAAAGAACAAGGTCGATCAAAAGCCAAAGAGAACTGCAACTACTAACATTGATAATATCCTTCTGCTTCTGCTCGTTGTCGCCCGTCGGTATGGTAGCGATGCCCTTCTTGTGGTAAGCGATGAGATCGGTCTGTAAAAAGTAAGGATGTTGCCTGAAATGGAGATTCTTAGAACTGTGGGTACGACAGTCGGGTCAGGACATACACATACTCTATCACGTTCATGGCTGGAGTGGTAGTTGTTGTTTGGAATAGCTCTTCAAGACTGGGAATCGCCGTTAATATGAACCCATGGGAATATGGAAAGTACATACGTCTTGATGGAAAAGTTGCTGACTCCAATAGCTTTGACCCTCCTACTAGCATTCGCCGTAGGACTCGTTGAAGGTAGCAGAATCGAGGGTGGCAGCAGAGCCATCCAAATCTCGTGGAAAATCCATTCAGTGACATGGTCCTGCCGGTTGAAACTAGTCTAAGAGTCAGTGGACGTTGAAGAGAAGATAACGACATGGCGTACGGGGAGTTTGGTTGTGCCGAAAAAAATCCTCGTGGGGAATACCAGGCTCTCTCATTGCCTCGCCGATGGCCTTTTCTGTACCTGAAATCCCCATTCAATGCACATACCAAGGAGGAAACATTGACGCAGACCATATATCAATGCTGTATCGATGTGTATATACCCTGCCTTCAATAACGTTCAGTTCACGAAACAGAAAAGCCCGGCGACCTCACCTGAATCGCTGCCAATATCCAATCCTTCCATGGATCACATGCCTCGGACCTCCACCAATACCTAGATATATGAGCGACATTTTGGTGTATGCGGGTTTACTGACCTATGATGTGTATCTTCGTATCATTTTGAGCTCGACGAGGGGAATTGGAGGCATCGAAGCGACTGAGGATTCTCTATCGCCTGAGGAGGACGCTTTCTATGTGTGGGTTCCGAGTCGTTCACAGGATCATGGTCTTTCGTAGCAGAAAACGTCTAGAGGACACAAATAGAGCAGATTAATATCACGGGTCGAGATACAGATGACACAGGATAATTCCGTCAATCTGGTTGATAATGGCCACACATCTTCGAGCGGAGGTTGAATTGAACTCGGCCGAATGCGCAGGGTCTGAGGTCCACGAGCACAATGCAATGGCCGCGAGCAAGCAAGCCATCAAGGAAGCCGAGGAGAAAGGAATTGACGCCTCTTTTGCTGCAAAGTACTGCACCTCTAAGGTTCTGGCAGAGAAAGGTTAATACTGATCCTCATACTCGATTTCCACAATGCTTATCCGGTGGATACAGCTGCTTCGGATTTGATTAATAAGTGCAAAGCCACATTACCTTAGGACTTCACGGTTATAAACCCGCAGAATGTAAGTTCCTGCCCCAGCATAATAATTAAATCTCATCTCTTCGACCCCTCCTCTTCGGTCCATGGTGTGAGCTACTCTTCCTATCATCCCCACGAAGCCACATTTGTACCGTTACCAAAGATTCTTTCGGTTTATCATAAGGAATCAGAAGAACTCAAATTAATCTTTCTCTTGAGAGAAACATACGAACCATATGCCCCGCTCCACCAACAGCAGCAAAGGTCAACTCCTTCGCACTCTGCATCTTCCCAGCAGGCTTCTCATCGACATACTACTCTCTCAATTCATCCTTCGCAAATTTCCTCTGCCCACTCCACTTCGTCACCGCTCGTTCCCAACCCGGTTGCACTTGCGATATCATCCTCATTTTTGCAGGAGCGGTGGCGGTCTAGAGTCAAGGCTGTAGACCAAAAATAGCCATAGACTTCTTTCTCCCGGACTGGCCCTTTGGAATTTTCAACCTTCCATTTTACTACATCGAACTGTACGATAATATATTTAAAATGTTAACCAGGCGATTCATTTCGCATGCGGGGAGAGCTCCATCCGAATCATTGGTATTCAACAGCAGAAGATCAAGCGTAGATGATACAATATCGTTCTAGGGATGTGTGATATTTACAGCACTATACACAAGGAAATAAACGGGGGTATTGAAGAGCTACCAAGCTACGACAACGAGTTCAGTCCGTCATTGAGACGTTGCTATCAGCATTGGGGACCAATTTAGGAAGACTAATGAAAGAGGTGACAAACGATTCGCAACTATTTTTGCTAAAATCCGGAGGAGACGACGGTAGAGAATCCAGAATTTTCCAGGCATCTCCGACACATTAGGTATATAGCGAGCAACTGTGGCATAGGCAACAGGGAAATGCTTTTCAATACATTCATCGTTCCATTCCGCATAGATAAATTCGTCGACCGAAGGGTCGGATGACATTTCCATCATTCGATCCGTAAAATCTGCAGGTGTGGCTAGGTCTGTTTTATCCTTCTCATTATCCTGTACATCGCTACGAGAGTGGTCAGACTTCCAATGTTCAGCATATTTATGTGTGAGGTAACCCTATATTTAGCTTGGAAAAGGACGGGCTGAAGCGATAGGATCTAGATGGAAAACATCCACGGTACGTCCTCAAAGCGAAGAAAATCTAACCTAAAAATGCGTCGCCTCGATAAAGCAGACACCGCAACATATTCAACATCGTATTTATATGAAAATACGCTATAATAACCACACATCAGTGGGCGTTCAAGCCGGTTAGATGAAATAGCACACCGAGGAGCGGCCTCAGTCATCTCAGACCGGTTGTTTGCGTTCTCCTTGACGCATGCACCACGTTCATGGGTTGAAAGTAAAACGCTAAAAGTTACTTCCAGCTCGATGTACACCTAAGACGAAGCCCGAGTGTAAGTCAACCTTGGCTATATTTTTACTATAGAAACAAAGACTCACTGCTCCATCCATTTCTCCTCCTGTTTCCTGAAAGGTTTCAGTGGCAGTGGTGCATGATCTATACCAGTACAGTACATACAAGTTCAAAATGAGTCCAAAAATGGTATTTATATGGATGCTATTAGGGTAGATCCTGCCAGTGTCACCACTCGGAACCAAATGCTACCGTGTCATTGCCATGCTTGATGTTACCCTCAAAGCTCTGCTTCGAATTAACCTCTTGCCTTGTTACGATCTAGTGTTGGAGCGGAAGAGATGCAGAAAGACGTTTCTGTTGGACTAGCAGAGACGAAGTTGAGATGGAAAACAAAAGGGAAACCCACAAGGATCAACAGATGCATACATCACTTCCAATGCCCATGCTGGACCTTCCCAGAGAGGTTACCTCATCGCAGTCCCATTTCCCATACAACGTTTCCTCATCGACGCTGAGAAACCCCACAGGAAACGTGTTTAGGTTGCATCGTGTTTTTAGCATGCTAGACACAATTTAATCATAGAAATATCTGACTATCCTCTTCCAGACCATATCCCCTCCATGTTCTATGCCATATGCAGATGCCCAGAGGTGGAATTCATATTTTCCACCTATTCCAACATGGTCCCATGTCTCATACTCGCGCCACTTAAGTGGATAAATGCTGAGAGCCTAACAAATTCAATTATACCTGTCAATACCTTAAGGATAATGCCACGTTCATCATATTATAGTTCCCACTCCTTGTACCACTTCAGCACATGCTTGTCTGCCATGAGATTTGATAAAGGGCAGAGGTCGAGGACGCAGACGAAGACACTTTATAGTAATAGAAAACAAGGGCACTCTGGTTTACCGGCTATTGTGTACCTATATTCCTACAGGTCGGCATTTTTTGCACTGGGCGTTCGATTCTTGGTGAAACAAAAACCTTCGATAGATTTTTTTTTGGGGGGACAGCGATTCATGAGGATCTGATGGGCATGTAACTACAAGTGAGAATGACAATCCAAGCCCAACTCCTATCATAATTGTTGAACATATGAATACCAGCGACGAAAAGGGTCGACGGTATACAGGAAAGGAAAATTGAGCACCTACGTTATACAAGGGTGCTATTCCATCCTCAGCATGACACCGCAAGGTCATTTCAGCAATATCAGAACATGTGTATCCTGCATGGCAAGGACGAGTCTTATCAGTACACCGTGGTCCGTGGCTTATCACTCCATTTCATCTCAAAACCTGATTCGCGCCACAAAGTTTAACTCATGTGGGACAAACCGAAGACGAAAATGGGCAGATTGTGTGGGTAGGAAAATGGATTCTCACTGATGGTATGAAATTCCTTTGCTGCGCGTCTTGCTTAAATACTTCCTCACCGCCTAGATGTGTGAACCGTAATATCAAAATTGAACTAAAGATAGATATCTGGCGGCGGTGGAGAGAGAAATGATTTAGTACTAGGGAATAAGACCGTCAAGAATCAAGATGCGCGGGGAAAGGAAGGAGCATGATACAGACCGAGTACAAAGAGGAAATTTATCAATTAGCGAGAAGAGGATGATGTTCCGACTGTACCTCTCCAGCTCGGTTTTTGGCGCGTGAACAGTTGCTTCATTTCCGGGTGTTGGTGAAAGATTTAATCAAGGCCGATTTGTTGACGTAGCACTTGAACAAATAGTTAGAGTGTCACATTCACAATTCATTCCTGAAACTTTTTCGACGCCCACGAGTTCGATTCTCGCCATTATCTTATCGAGTGACAGGAAGTCAATGAAGGAGTAGGTACTGGTGCACCATCAGCCTGAGGCAACACTGCAGCTGGAGTACAAAGAAGAGTATATTGGAGGTTCAAAAAACACGCTAGTACATACCTCTTCGACAACTTTCCTCACTAGATAGATGTGGCACTTTAGCTCAGTTGCGACTGCCAGGTATATGCTAGACAGAAGGAGGTTTTTTTTCCCCAGTTCAATCCCCCTTATCAAAGGTAAGTACCAATTCCCAATATTTGTTGTGAGGGTTCCGTATCTTAGGCTTCAACATTGCATGAAGAACTAAAACCGAAAATTCGTTCCGTCGATGTAGATGAATGATGGGAAGAACATAAAGTTCTTACACCCTTAAGTGTGACTTCTGTTAGCTTTTTTGATAATGGTGGGATGTGAGCAACAGTACAAGGATTAGTGAAAACAGTGTGCTTCAACTCTATTTCCATGGGCAGGCAGGTCCATCAATGAAGGCGTTGCTGATAGCCAGGTTATCAAAGAAGTTCAACGTAGGACTGCAGTGTAGTGGCTAGAGTGTTACATGGACCATATAATTCATCGCCTTTTTTCCCCCGCAAGTTCGATTCTCAGCAACCTCTAACATGTGCCTGTTGAAAAGCAAAGAGAGATGAGTGACGCCGGAATCTCAGGGAAAAAAAGATCTACTGATCCTTTCATTCATGCACCGAAGGATAATTGAACCCCTGCTGAGACACGGCGCCGTTGCACCATCGGCATGATAACGAAAGCTTGTACAATGTAAGCAATAGCTACGACTTGAGCATGTACATTCTGGTCCCAAAAATCCATCCGCTAAACCATGCTAGTCTTAAATATGAGTTCGGCTATCACCCGATGAGCCCGACTGCCCAGACTCCAAAGTCCCCGGTTGGTTAGAAAGTTCCTTACTAGTGCCGTTGAATACTCTTATTCTGACTCGTATATCTCATGCATGACTTACCCTCACCAACATAAATACAAACAGGGCCGGCCTGGACCAGATTCCTTTTCCAGGGAAGAACGTTATTGATATGAAGGCACTCTGATCCTGACTGGCCACCGAAACATGTGAGCCAAAAGACATAATCAGAGATCATCTATGGTAGTGTGATATTCATTTGCGGAAAACACACCCCCATAGAAAGGAAGGTATTTCTCCGTCTACCCAACTCATTTCAGTGAGTGATGGCATGTGACATTTAGTTCTCAGTGCTGGGATAAGAGTCAACGGATTTTTTGAGAATGGAAAGACAGAATGGATTACATAAACACAAGCGTTCAAGTTGACTGTGTATGATCTAATGGCTGATGATCGAATTCAGGGAGAAGGTGGTGTCGGGGAGACTGTTGAAGGAATTCGAGTATCTGTAGTACAGTTATTTGCTGCAAAAATTACAGTGCAAGTCATCCTTTCAACCGCGAGGAGGAAGAGGTGTTCCTGGATATATACGAGTCCGGAAAGCATACACCAAATATTGATCTGGGCTTTGACTCGTCTTGGTGTATCTCCAAGAAGAAGTAGAAGAATGCCCTGATTGGGGAGATTAATCATAAAGATAAAAGAATAGTGAGATACGACTTCAGGAAACCCCCCATGCGTAAGATTCAAGTCCGTGATAACTAACTCTCGTCCGACATGGAGACAAGCCGGTCGGACCAGAGCATATACTTCTCGCGATGGAGGCCTGATAAAATTAGGCACTGAGCGGATTCCTTTGCTTGATCCGTTTTTCATTTTGAGAGGAGAATAAGGAAAAAAATACGAGAGGGGTACAAGGATCCTTCCATCACAACAATTGTCAGCTATGTATAATTGCCAACTTCCGAGGATGGCATCTGTGGAAAGCACGGGATAGTGGAAAAGTCATCTGGGAGCATGATTCGGATTTTTGTTCGTGAGGGAACCAATACTCGATATCCAGACACCTCAGATAGGGTGTCTGCGGGACACTACATAGGACTCGAAGTCGAGAGGTGCGAACCAAGAGAAGGAATCGGACCTATTCTAGGTCAAGAAGTGTTTTCTTTCGTGTATGCATTTTCTTTGTTCTGCAGAAAAACAGTCAATGTGAGAGAAGAAGGGGAGAAATGATAATGGTCCAGACAGAGACGAGGGGTGGTGTACTTGGTCCTTGGTATTGATGGGAGGGGGATGAGAAGAGCTGGTTGGGAAAGCAAGATAGGGTAAGCTTTAATGTAGCCAGTCTGCGAGAAAGAAAGGAGAGGATCTGACAGTGATGAGGGTGCGGTGTAAGTCAAATTGACTGTGCATAATCAAACGGACTTTCAGCCTGATGATAGCACGTACCTTAGTCTGAGAAGAAGTCTCGCAGATGAGACCAGCGGAATAACGGCAACAGGCAGTGTTCCTGGATAAATACAACGCATAGAGATTATGGACCGCGTGGGGTAGGATAGAAACTGCCCTGATCGAGGGGGTAATAGATCGTTTCACAAAATACTGAGATGAGTGCCACGAACGAGATATACGCGATAGGACTAATGCTCGTAACACGTATCAAATGCTCCCCGAGAAACTACGTCAGTCGCACAGTATAGAGCATAAACAGTTCGACGGTAATAGAGCGTATGGGAGGATTCTTATCAATACACGAAGTGCTCCTAACATGTGGATCTGTCCCACAAGGGTATAAACAACGAAGGAGGAGATGATAACTCACGTAGAAAACGGTTCTTCCAGAAGTATTCGGATGGTATCTGTTTAGAAGCATTGATTATTGAGGATTCTCTTGATTAGAGAGCATGGGTGTAATTAACAAGCTCGTGCATCAACTCGAACGAATGCAAAGAGAGTCCTTTAGTAAGGAGACACTGCATTTGCCATTATGCCCCACAGTAATGCAACACTGTACTTATCCATCGGCACTTACATTGGAGATCGAAACTATATATATATTTGCCAACTTGCGTTGTTTACTTCAAGGAAATACCATCTATTTCAATACAACTAGTTAAGCATTGCATGTCTTTTTTTGCTCAGGATTGAACAAATTGACCCTCTTGACCTAGCTGGATTTGTGCTGAATGATCACTGAGACCTTGAGAACGAGGCCAAAATGAGAAGTCCGGCAGACTGTGCGACTGGCTATACCAAAGTCAACCAAAAGTCTCCGTTCTTGTCAGCACTGGTTTATCTTACAATTATGTCTAAATACTGAAATACTTAGAGAGCTCATATAGAATCTGACTCATATTCGATGGAGCCGGCCAGGAACCTTCGTTTAGCATGGGGCACATGGAATAACATCATGCGCTTAGTGGAGGTGACACCGGCGTAACAATCACTCCCTACTTCAGCCACGATGAGCTGTCTGCGTACCACAAGCTCTGCCACTGTTCAGTGGCAGGATCCTGAACCAGACAAAACAGATTCTCATGACGGCTCTTCCTTCACTAAGTGTGTTATCGCCAACTTGCACTCTTTGTAGAATCGACAAGCTCAGTCGCTTGCCGCCGTAAACCTACGGGGATGCGTGGTTACTCGGGCGAGCAGCGAGATGACTTGTGTCGAGTTATCCCACATCATTGCAAAGTCCAACAGTCAGACCACTGTAAGTCGCCTATTTTATGCAAAGTTTTCTCCTCCTCTGAAAAGCGCATTCTTAGTTCGACAAACTCGAATATGTGTAGAACAAACCGCGCTTTGCCGGAAACTTGGACTCACCGAAGAACGTGCAGACAGGTATGTTCTTATTACTATGGCTTTTGCTTTCACCAAGTGCACTCATTCTTCTTTCTAGTGACGGAGCCCGTACACATGTCGTTCGATGAGCCTTTTGAACATAACAGTGGAGACAGCTGGTTCTGGCTTCTTCAACATAGGCGACTTCTTGACAAGCTCTTTGGGATCTATGTCCATAACGTAGGATCTCCACTGAAGAATGTTTGTTATGATCCCATCATAGTATATCTGACCACTTTCTCCCCTCGGCATTCCATCTCATAAAATCCGTTCCAGGTCTATGCTCACCAGAATACACTTTCGTACAAATTAGTGGCTACAGAACCCATGAGGGCGCTGCTGGGACTTCCAAGAGTACTGCGGCGCCTACTATCGCGCTGATTTTAATGCTATCATCCAGCATGTTTTCCCCTTCCAGGGTCTGAATACGCATTCTCTTCACACCCGCCTTCATTTGTCATCTATGACACCGGACGTAAACTCGATGCGCTCTTCGGAGTATTCAGAACTGTGATAGATTACTGGACATTCTTCAGGTGCAGTGAGGATGAGGGTATTGCGATGCTGTACACCCGCGCGATGTACAGAGCCTGGATGCCCGTCAAACAGAGTCAGGAGTTCATGCAGGTGGATCATCCCCCAGAGCGGGGCGACGTTGGGCTGTGCACGCACTCTCGTCCTGGGAGGGGTGATGAAGCTCCCCATCTGAGAACACTGAGGCGGTGAAGGACGAGGAGGTTATTATCACTGCCGAGAAAGATGTCTGACGTGTAGGGATGACCACGAAACTGAACACAACGGACTTGGGAGATGTAGGGACCTCTTCTTGATTTGACTGTAATTATCTACTGTTATAATGTTCTTGACTGCGTAGCACCACTGCACTGCTTCTTACCTTCTTAGCTTGTTCATTAGGATTGACCACCGTTGGACAACTGAGGACATCTTTAATCAACTGATTTTACTTTGACGCCTCGACTGGACGCAGGTTATGTGGTGACCCACTTCATATGTTACAGAATAAGCTGACCTCTCCCTATGCTTCCAAAGCGATAACTACCACTCTGAGAACATAATGTTCAGACTTCACCCTCCCCTTCATTTCGAGCGTGTCCGGAGCTGCGCACACTGAATTTTTGAGGGATGTTGGACTATGTCCAATCCGCATGTCTGGAAATTCTGATCTTGCTTCGTGACGAATGTAGAATTGGTCATTCGTCTTACGGTTTGAATTTCATTCTGCACCGGGAACGCCGCCTTTTCGTCAGTCTCCACTGATGCGAGTGATATAGGCCTGTCATTCCCACCCTTGATTGCTAACCTAGCGAGTGAAGCAAAGGTATTCATGTGTTCCCGTGTGCTTTCAAAAGGTTCGGTTCCGGAACTGTTCAATATCGAGCAAACTTTCTTTCTGCTTCCTGCTAGTCCGGCACTGCAATTGGAAGCGATAGTGATGCCGAGAATTTAATTTCCAGGATCCATCAGGCCGGAGGTTAACATATCATGAGATTTATTTCATGTTCACGCCACAGCCCTTGCTGGTTCATGAAGAAAAGCTCCAGTCTATGCTCGTAATAGTGGAGGGAAAATGCTCTGAGGCAAATCCGAGGAAGAGTTACTGTCACAGTCACCAACGCATCGATCATATGCGTGGTTGCTCCTATGACACTGACTCCTCCCGTGCCCTCGTGAATTTAGAGAACGGCGCTCAGTCACGATCATACTTACAAGCATGTTGATGGTTCGTCGCTGCTTAGTAACTCCTCGAACCAGTGCTCCAGAATTCGAAAGCATTTGATAGGCTTAAGGAGGCCTTTCTTCCTCAAATCAAAGTGATTCTACGGGGCCTGTGCTGTTGGGGAGGTACTTTCTTCACTGTTCCTCATTATCTGATCTCAATCAATGCTTTAAGGGTTGCACACAAATGTTAGTGAGTATGTACATAAAGTAAAACAACCCAGAACAATCACTTCTTTTGAATTTGGAAGTTTTCATCCTTTTTTAAGGCCTATTGCACCACACCAGATAGTACATATACATGGATGGTGAGCATTTGATATCTGTGTTGTTATCATTACTGATATAGGCATAAGGGCTGGCAGGAATATAATGCTCGCAGTATGTTCCTTTTCGTGTCCTGCTTATTCCGCTGAGTTTTTGTATTTTTCGGTATCAGGTCCATTCCCGCAAGATTGGCTGTCAATCATGCAAGGTGTACTGATGTCATTCAGAAAATCAGGTCTGTTGAAAGTGTGGCAGACAAGAACTTAATAGTCAGTAGTGAGCAGATCTGAATCCTTAGTAGCAGGGTAGGAAACATGTCCGTCTCTTGTTGGTTCTACTCTGCCTCTTATCAGGTTTATGGAATTGCTTTATACCTATGTTGGGTGATTGGGCTTCCATAATGTCCTCCTTGCACTAGCCGTGAGAAGGATATACTCCAATATGCAATGAATGGATAAATCTGCTTTGGAAGCTTACAGTCACATGGATGTGGCATAATCATTACATTAATGTGAATGCCTGTATAATAACTATTTCAGTGGGTTCAATCCCCAGCATCCGAGTTAGATTTCTGAGTATACCATTTTGGTGACTTTACACCTAAGTGCCAGTCTTATTCCGACACTCCATAGTAATGTGACGCTGTAATTATCCATCGAGATTCACGTTGGAGTACGAATGTTCTTCGATCGAACACTCAGTTCCGATTTCCAAGTGTTACATCAAAGAAAAACTGTCGATTACTCCGAGTCCAATTCAATAAGTCTACTTATCAACTGTGTGTCGTTTTTCTCTCCGGCTTGAACAAATTGTGGCTCTCAGCATTCCGACCAATAACCAAAGACTTATGTATCAACAGTGCAGTACTGAGCTTCATTAGATAAGGCAGAAAGAATGACCCACGCCGGCGCTGAGTAAGAAAAAGATGGTATGGCAAATAACTTGTCAGCAAAGGCATGGTTCACATAGCCAGATGGTTCATAACGTTCTCTGCTCATGGCGAGCTCTGACATTAAGTAGGCTCTCACCTCGAAAAGATGCTGGTATGATCTACAAGATAACGTCCTTGGAACCTGCGACCGACCTAGATATAAGCGATACCATCACTTGGGTATTCTTCACGTCGTGCCTCTGCTGTGGCAAGTATTCCTAGCATATCTCTGCTTAAATTATAGCCTTCATTGAGTCTCTACACACAAAAAATGTACCCACTTTCCTATAGTGTTTAAAAACCTGCGTCACTAATGGATAACTCAGATACAGGGAATCGAACCACTGGAAACTGGCTGCCACTAAGCGATGTCTGAACAATTCTTCATGTACCAATATGTTTTAAATATACCTTATTCATGCACTCATATTTTTTACTCTAGAGGTCAGGGCAGGAATTATATTGTTCTTGAACATTTGTCCGGACGGTAATTGAGATCAAGACCCAAAGTTTGGTCCGGATTCCGCCCCCGACCTACCCTTGGGGCCAAGTTTGTCCGGATTTCGGTCTTAACATTACAAAGTCGTGAAAAATATACAAATACGTATTTCATCATGGTATCTATCTATCTGAAATACTCATTGACTCCCAGAAAAAGCATAGAAAGGATGTCAAATTCAAATATCACATATTCATGGCAGAAAACAATGATCAACTCTTCAGAGAACCCATCAATCATTAACCGATAAGGTCCTCCCGACAAGCTGAACAGCCAGTGGCATGTCTGGACTTTCACCTGACCATGTCTATATGGCGACTCATTGTCCGTATCATTGTCTTAACCAATTAACCTCCATAGGTCATTTTGTCCAGATCCTAGCCTGGCATAACTGCTGGGAACGTGAAATTTGCTTGGGTTTTTGCTCTGACCCTTGGAGGAATAATCAGGGCTCCTGCTGACACACCAATGCGACGTGTGAGCCTCTGACGTTCAGTAGTGCAGAAAATGCATACATTCCGGCCAGTCAGTGACTCCTGAACATATAAGCAGTCAGTGAGTTTTCTCTGTGCCAACTCTGCACACTTGCCTTCCTGGCTGTACAGTACCCATAATTCGCTGGTTTCATAGCATGGTGGCCATCCACAATTCTACAGGTTGAGCCACTTCAGATTTAAATCCACTTTGCTTGCTACCTATGACTTGGCGCTGTTTCCTTACACGACATCATTCTGAATCGTCAAGTAGAATGATGGCGTACATTTACATTGAACCAAAGTATCGAGTGCGTGCCTCCGTTTGAACAAGCCAGTCCATCCTATCTAAAAAGAAACTTAACATCCAGCCCTTCATCCTTCATCCGGAAAAAATCATGGATACGTGAATTCGACAGCACAGGAATAAATTGCTGGTAGTGGAAATGCTTTGTCTCTAATGATAGTCTCAGTGTTTCCAGACAACTGTCATGGAGTGCCTCTACTTCTGGCAACAGGCGACTTGTCGCTGGCACCCCCAGACATGGAATGTCCTCAATGCTCAGATTTTTCAAATTTGGTACATTCCCTTCGAAACATGTCGCCTGCTATTTCTGCATCTCATGGAGCTTTTGGAGAGCAGGAGATTGCCTCAGTGTCAGCATAAGGAACCTGGTCGCATGTACAGGTACTGAGAAGGTGAGGTGGGTCAAATTTTATTCATAGCCATCAGAGATTGATGATACGACAGTATTCGACAAACTTCAAAGCCCCGGGCAAGGTACCAACCAGTGGTTCAGTCTGTGCGAGGATTTGAAACTACCGGAATCATTAAGCATTCCAAATTTATTGGGATCTCGATGACCTGACGCGTATTTTCCCGAGTAAGGACAAATGAAAGTCGTTAAAGAGATGAGTGAACCACTCGTGGTGCCATATTGTCGATAAATGGACATTAGGGAGGAGGCCGAATATCGTGGGCAACGATTCTCGAGGCAAACGCTGTATCGGAGCCAACCTACAACCACCAAGGTCCTTGAACAGTTTTTTGTGCCGATCTAGGATTTTTTGGAACAGAGGCTCAATTTTCTGCAGCTCCTTTTCAACGTGAGCTATATCGTTTGCAATGGAAACTTGACAAACGTCGAAAGATAAGAACCCATATCTTACGAGTTCGGTGGCATCTACGGAAGGAGAATAAGGGTGTATAGCGTCGACTTGACGTTTAGTGCAAATATCCTTGATGTCGTTGTCGATATAATGCATAAAGATAGACGAAAACATGTGCGTACCTTTATCATTTTAAGCTACTGCGAATATACGTAGAAGAGAATACTGCTGAAGTAGGATATCGTCTCCGTACGATGCTGTGAACGTCGAGATGTACCTGCTGTCAGTAGGATCCGCTCCAAACATTTCAACATCCGAAATACATCACTGCGCGTCGAACACTGTCAGCTTACGACCGTATCATTGGGTATACTAGTCCTCTGAAAACTCCAGGTCACATTTGGTTATATAATACACATGCAAAAGAAATAACGACTCGATGTATTTACAACTTTCACCATCACTACGCCCGGCCACCTTCTGTTCCCCAACTCGCCTGCCATGTCTCCTGTCCCTATCCCAAAACAGTGACTACAGAGACTCGAGAACAGACTGTAAAGCACGTACCATCCTATTCTTCATCCTCTGGTTCTTGATCATCTTCATATTTCTCTCCTCGGGACCAGACCTGGTGTTTTCCTAACGTATTTCTTTTTTGTTTATTCCAGGCTAGGAAATGTGAAACTTTCCTCGCAGATTCCGAGGGTATGAATGATACTGCTTTTTAAGTGGAAAGGTTTACAAAACGTTTATTTCAGAGTCACATGAGGATCTGCGAAGTACTGACACTCGCTATCACAAACTTAATATTCCCTTCCGAGTCGCTCGGCTCCTCGGCAAACTTCAAGTTGTCGGGCGATTATTATTCCTCGGATACACGGTAAATTTTCAGCCCCTGTTTCTCTTATCTGATGTTGTTTCTTATGCGAATAGAACTTGATCAGCGCAGTCTTCCTAAAAAAGGGAAAGTGTTCGCGAGTGGGTCATTGTTTCTCGTGTTCTGGCTCACTGGCTCGGTCAACCATCAACTTAACCTGCTGCAGGCACTCAAGTTATGGAAATGCGTCTGTGTCTGATTAATGTCAGACGTGAGTGCTGCGGCCGTACTTCTGTGAACTACGATTCTGATGGGGGTCTATCTTGAATTTGAACTGATATGTTTCTTGGAAGACTATACCCCGCTGACATTAAAAAGACACTTAATGCGATGACAGGGTTCTTACAAGGAGGTACAAAAGAATGCTCGAGCCTCGATGTGGCAGTTCTGAACTGTCGATAACGGCCTCGCAGCCTTGCAGTGATTCCGGAACGTGCTCGTCCGCGGAGGCTTAGCTCCGGCCCAAGGCACGTTTCGTCCTTCCATTCCAGGTGAAGCTGCTGAATGGTTCTTGCAGCAGGAACGAGTAAAAGACAATTCGGCAATCCCGTCCGTAAACGGCTCCACGCGAATCGCATCACTGGGCGTTATTTTCATGGGCCCCGTCGATCGAATCAAGGAATTCGAACACAATCCTACTAAGAACATCCTTGTTCTTAATAATCATCATTTCCTTGGAATGTTGCAATAATTTATGCCGGAAATAAGAGGTAACATGTGTCGTTTTCCCACTACATTGTCCGTTCTGATCTCTGTTCTATTCGTAAAAATATAGAGTAGTAGGGAGGATCTGCCGTGTAAACCGTGGGCCTTAACAGGATGCCGCGGACCGGCCGTGCACGATGGGGTGAATTTCGACCTTAATTCTTTGATACGGCCGACTCTGCCGCGGCGATCAAGTGATGTTGATTTAATGTAATAGTGCTGCGTTCGGCCTCGCCTGGTGTTCTCCGATGTACAGCCGCCAGGCGTCGTTACGTTGTCGTTGGTAGCATGTTTTATCTTATAAGGCGATGCAACTCTTTATCTTTATCAACCCAAGAAGAGACGTAAACGGATCGCCTCGGACATTGACAAAAACGAGTTGATGGACATCTCTTTAGAAAGCGAAATCAGTTTGTTAGGAACAAATCGAAATCCATGCTCGCTGTGTGCTCAGATGTCTGTTGGTATGTCATATAGCGAGTACAATAGACACCTCGTATCCCGGGTTCGAGCGAATAGTGAAATGTATGAAGAACGAGGAATGCTACTATCACGTTGGATCCCGGACCCTGACAATAGACAAATAACTTCGGCTGTGAGGTGGGCGCACTGGTTCGTATCAGCCAGCTGAGAGAACACATGTGACCTGCAGAAATGTATGCACAAACCAGTATATTTCTACCTCAACTTCCATGTCACACCGCCACGATGCTGTGCATCTTATGGAACACCGAAAGATGGTTTTGTACGGTGTTTGTATCGTGAAGAAAAAGTCTCAGTATTCAATGCGATTAAAGGAAAGGCAGCTTCATTCATGTCGCCCTGGTCAGGGACGCCAATCTGGGGTCTTGGAGTTATTGATTGGCTCGGTGTTTGCGGGTTACTTTCACAGCATTAGTGTCAAAGGAAGACTGCACCTCTGTCGGAATGCAGTTTATTCGCTGCCTCCCTCACTGCCCGCCGCAGCAGACGACGAGGTGAAGGGTCGATGGAGTGTTTCTTGGAACTTTGTGCACCAATTTATTTATTCTTTTGAGAATGTGGCTCTAGCCCTTGCTACCAAGGTATCTGTTATTATCGTTTCTACCGTTGTCGGTAGGTGCGACGGTTTCCTAGTTATGCTAGGAGGTATATGATTCGTTGCTAAGAAACATACTTTATCATCCTATGATTGATTCCAGAACTTTTGGACCGACCAAAGCCGTCAGAAAGAGGCAGGGATCAGACAATTCCGGGAGCGACGCAGCTGCATACCTGTTTGACTGGTTAAGGAAGAATACAGTGAATATTTACTACTTAGTACTTAGTAGAGCGCTCCGCGTCTGGTTAGTGGTGCATGATACTGCTCTAAAAAAAAGACATTCATGAATATAGCAGGTGAAATGGTAGTTTAAATGCAAAGGAGAAGATGCCATCACTGAGGCGTCATACGAATTCAAGTCCTACCCAATATTCCTGAAAACACCCAGAGCATGTGGGTGCCATATACTAAGACTACCTTTCGCGGGGAAGTTGGATTGATAAAGGCCTCTTTTTCAGACATCAGATCCAAAGAAATAAGTGTAAAGACGTCACTGTGGTCTTCATCCATAATCCGCACTAAGCGATAGGCAAAATGACTATGCCTTCGTCATCGATTTCAGGTGTCCCAGATGCGACATAGATTCAAGAGAATGCTTTGGTCCCCAGATCGGGAGAAATATCTTCGTGACGGCTGTAGGAGTCGGCAAAATCATGGTTAACGATCCTCAAAGCAGTATGACATTCGCGAAAACAATTTGAAGACAGAAGAGATCCCGTCCACAGATATGTGATATTAAGCGTAGGTCCTGTTCATCGAGGGCAGCCTTGGGTGAGGGATCCTCTATAACGCGATCGTAGAACAAAAAACAAGGGCAAATCCAGTTTTGGATATCAAGATCCACGTGGCTCTCTTGCTTTTTTTCGGTCATGACGCCACCTGGCACCGTGTCTCGCTCTTGCCTTGCTGAATTCAGAAAGGAGAGGAGATTTCTGTTGGTACTCAATACACTTTCATTTTAACCTAAGTCCCAAAGTGCCAAGACGTAGCTCGTATCTCGATTTTTTAACACCCCTTCAACAAATAATCCGCCATCTTAGAGATCAGGAACCAATCCAGTATTCAGTATTACTCCAGTGGAGCCTACATCACATTGCTCTATCCGGCATCTAAGATGCGATGATAGTCTGGCGCCAGTGGTCTGTCTCCCTCAGTTCTCTCCGTAAATCCGTCTACCTCTTAATGTGGCTTCTTTCCCCCTGGAAGGTACGCGCGAAGATAGGTAGTCTGTTATTCTCTTCTTGCGACGAGCGGAGGTGCCGAGCATCTCATACCGGTCACTATCAATGTAAGATTGTACTTCAAGTGACCGGAATGGGACCTTGTTCTTCAAGTGCCCGACAGTCATAAACGCCGATATTGGAACTCGCTTCTCACTTATAATCACCCGGCAAAACCGTTTTGTTCTGCTAATGCACACTCCCCCCTCTGTTGATGTGCGATTCTGTTCTCTACGTTGCAGCACAGACTTTGCAGGTCTTTTTCGCCCATCAAGCTCTCATAAGCCCATCTCAGAGATTCAGGATACCGTCGCTATCCATACCATCTGGGATCTGGAATGGTGCCGCAGTCTTCAGATTCATCCGAAAGGGAACAATTTTCGACAAATTCCAGGGATAACGGCTACCGTCACCGGCGCTGCGTATGTTGATTGCCATTCCATCTACTTTCAGAGAGTTAACCGCTTGTCTGTCGAATAGGAACATCAGCCAAAGCTCGAGACGCGCTATTCAGGATTCTATTATGATGATGATTATTTGCTGCCGGCGTTATCTTCTCGCACCGAGCTAGCTCCTCACGGGCACCCTGGACACAATTCGGCTTTGAGTACTGTCATTTTTTCGTCGGGGATGTCGCAGTCAATCAAGACGGCAGGAAATTTTCCAAGTGTTTCACACGGTATGGAGAGCTAAGTATGTATGCCTTTTCAGTGTTTGTTTTCATGCTCAATTTCGGGCATCATACTTCTCTCTCTACGTTCTTTACTGCATGCGAAGATTTTCCCGTTAACCACTGCATCCGTCGCTCGAATTTCAAACGGATGCGCGTGTATCATTCTAGATTTAATCAGATCGCAGTCAAATATGCCCACGTCGACTTCAACCTAATACACCACCCGCTCACGATTCTGGATTCCTATTCCACTCTATCGTCCTCCATCAGATCCACACGGAGGCAGTAGTCCTCCGTGCACGAACAGGCTCGTCTTCCCATCTTTTTTTGTTTCATCAACTGAAGCAACATGGTACAGGACGCCACACTGAGAAGATCAGCGAATAGAATGACGAGCCTTAGAGCTTCGTATATGATTGGACCTGCTGAGCGGTCGAGGGACACCGGTGTCTTTATTTCGGTTCGCTAAGGAAGACCTATTATTTCATAACGGACATAACGGTGAGGAAATTTGATTTTTCATCATCTTTTGAGGTCTTCATTTTAGGTTTACAGCACGGATACGGGTGGGGTGCTTTTCGAGTACGGAAATCAACGATCACATTCCTCGGCGACCCTTCCAATCCCCCCCGCAGGCTGGAGTTTTTTCGGCTGCACCAGCAAGGATCGGCGTTGGGGAATGATGCGCCATTGTATCACCGGTGATTTCAGATGAAACTGACATGGCGATAATCTTGATTGCTTCTTATCGGCTGACGATAGCGTGTACGCCGATTCATAACACCGCAGACAATGTTCGGCCGCGTAAGCTCTTTACCGATAGCTATGGACGTCAGCCATTCATTAGAGAAATACGAAAACGGAACGAAGAGATTGGTGCGGGGGCCAACTACGTCACTGAATATTAGTCGTCCTGAAAGACCCTTGTACAGGCCGTCCCTGTACGCGCTTATCTTATCTGTACAGGGTTGGCGCTATCGTAACCCAATTTCCAAGATTCGTTATCCCGCATTGGATGAAGAGCTATTTATTTCTACAAGACAGTAACCTACTTATTACCCTACACGAGGAAGAATTGGTTTGAAAACCATTGTGTTTCAGAGTGCTCTGCGGGCCTAGTACGACCACTCGTGCTGACTTCGAAGTCGCATAACGTCCTAGTCGGGTGATCGACGTCGATGGTAAGCTCCGTGCTTACTTTTCATAGACTAAGATTTGGTTGATGCCTTTCGCCTCCAGAATCCGGCTTCAGGCGTCCAGACCCTGAACACGAAAGGGGTCCGTGCGTGAGACTTGAAATGTTCTAGGCTCCGCCTCGGGTTCCGTCCATGGCTTGCTCATCTTTTGATCCACTTCATACTCCACTGCACGGGATTCCGCTACTCTCTCTGATTTATGGAGAAGCCCTCTCTGATTGGAATATGAAGAGACGTGAGTGCTGCGCATCTCTCGTGTTGCTGATGAAATAGTTTCTAATTCTAGCCTTCTTGCATACATTAGCTCTTAAACCACTATCGCTGTGGGCGCCCGTTCATGCAGTTCTGTAACCACCAAGGCTCGCACGATACCTCTAGTCGATTATCGATTTCATCTATGTCGATGCCCTGAGATAAGTTGCGGTTCGCGAGACTGCTTGCCATCGATATGATAATGCCCCTGACATAACCAAGGGCAGCTGACGATTCCTTCGTAGCGCTCCTTACAATATTGGGGATATTAGATAACGTGCTCTTCATGGAGCCCCATGGGTTAAAGTGCGCTTGGTCATGATCCTTTTTTCACTGATGCGAAAGCGATTACACCACAGGAACGATTAAAAACCCGCTCAAGGGCTCCACATTCCGTGCCGTTCATCAGAAAACTGTACCCATTGCAAGTACAACGCTCTGGTCCCCCAGACCCTGCAATGTTTATTTTTGGCTGCATCCAGGTCGAGCGCAGTAATTGCAATTCTGCGGCTATGTCGCCCCTGGATTAGATCCTTCTCACGAAAGGATTACACCAATATTCATCCTGTGCTCAAAATGACACTTTCGTCGTTTGAGTTGACGGGACCATGTGTGAATCATTGTTTATTTTCCCACTGAGGTCACTTCGTTCTTATGTGCGTTCTATTTGCCAAGTCAAAAAGTCCGTCATGCGCAAGGGGGAAGTGATGTGTTTGCCGAGGAAGTTTTAAGCGGATACCGACATGCCGTGCCTTGTCTTTGAGATTTGGATGCTTGATAAGGCCGGCTTTGTGATGAAGCGACGTTGATCTCGAGTAGCGCTTAAGTTTACGGCCCAGGTATTCTCCCAAGCGCCAACTCCTGGGCAACATTTGCTTCTCTTGTTCATCGACGGTCCTTGATAGTATGTCTTCGTATAGAAATATATCTCTTCGTCAACGGCAGTTACCGGGCCAAACGGGAGTTGCAGAAATGAAATCATGCCCATCTGACTCGGAGAGTCGGGGTCAGCGAAGTATCCTAAACGTCGCTATAATATGAGTCGATGTCATGCGTGGGGAAAGAAATGTATAGCGGTTGTGGGCTATTCAGACTTTACTTTACTCTGCGATGGTCCGTTAAGATACAGCATTGAAGAAGAACGAGGGCTCGGAACGTAAAGGCCAACCTGGGAACTTAAGATCGCTGTCGGCCGAGATTACCGTAGGTAATATTGGTGAGCAGGTGGATCCTATCGATATGTGCCTCTCGTCTCTGGGATGGGATAGATATTGCGCTCAGGCTACTTTGACGACAGCAAGTACCGCCGTGTTGTGTTTAGTGCCCGTATAATATATCCCCACCTACGTAGCTTCATCGGTTTTGGCATGAGGTTTTGACAGGCATTGTCTGTACTTGGAACCAATGCCCCTGGACCGTGTAAGGGCGGCTGGCCAGTGCGGACTGGCAGTATATCATTCGGCTCCATTGCACCCAAGGTTCCAGTGGTATCCAAGATGAGATCTACTGAGCATCACGCTCTGTTAAGTAGACCGTAAGATTGAGGGGCTTTGATAGGCATCAGAGTACTGGTCCTAAGCTCCGCTCCGTCTGCGATGGCGAAATGCAAGGACCTCTTTCCAACGCAGAAGTCATAAAAGCTGGAGTGAAGATCCATGAGAGAGCCGGAAGAGAGACAGAGGGATATTTGTTTCAAAGAGAGGACATTCCCGTGGGCCTTTGAACCAGAGAAACACTGATGTCTAGTGCATTATGAGGTTATAAAAACAAAACAGAGAGGGGGGGGGGGAACAAAATGATAGCAGAGCTTTACATAGTATTAATCAATACATTCGAATACGATTCAGGCCGAACCAGTGACATGGGAACTCCCAACTCGAAATGGTCGAGCAAGCTCCGCAGGCTATTTTCAACCTTTCTTGTTCCTTGGCGGTAAGCCTTATCCGAGTCATGCTTGCGAAATAAGCGTTAGTTGTGTTAGATCGCCGGGCTCGTTCCCTTGACCTTCATTGATCGACAATCTTATTTATTGTCGGATCGGAGTATGGGAATTATACAACTAGCGCCGAGGTTTTAAGCTTCTATATCTAATGATGTGGACTATTGCTTCTAGCGCTGTTAGCAAGAATACATGAAGCTGCTACTCTACTGTTTTGGGAAAATACCAGTGTAATTGTTGGATACTATAGATCGATCTTTGCGCGGGAAATATAGTGGGTGTAATAGAGTCAATATTACGTTAGCGAGACTTATTCCGCCCAAGGACGGAATGCAGAATTGCTCAGTCCCAAACTAAGGAACACAAGTGAGTGATCACAGTACTGTATAGTGCAACGCAGGAAAGGCAAGGGCGCCTAAATTCTGGGTTCAAGATGTTCGACGGGTAGAAATACACGACTGTGATTGAATGAAGTTCAGTGACTACGCAAGGACCCACAGCATCGGCCAACAGAGAAAATAAGCGACTCCGAGCAAGTCCGAACAGAAAAGACAATTTTAAGACGCCGATTGATTGCCGTCGCCTGTTTCCGGAGTCCTCCCAAGTAAACAATGGAACACAACCGCTCCTTGTCTTGAACTTCCTCCTTTTGCATCATTCTTTGTCGGTACCATTCGAGGCTTATCATATACTACTGCGCTTATTGGTCCCCCTATTGCATTTTCGTGACCTGACCTGACCGATCTGTTGACTAGCCTTCCGTCGTTCGTGGCATCTGATGAAAGTTGAAAAAGCACCTGTCCTATCGGCTTTGTGGACGTCTGACATATTGAATGCAACAAATGTCTCACGGGCTTGGCCTGTCCTGATATCGTCGGAGCTTGCCTCGGGTCAAGCAAAAACGGTGCATGAGAAGTGCCGTTAAGGAACGAAAATATTTCCTCCTGGATTGGCATGGTTTTCTTCGTATCTAGTACTAGAGCTCCTATTCGGTCCACGGAAGCGTCTCTTAAGACGTTCCTGGTAGCTCTTGTGTGCTTGGATACACACTTTAAGTTTAACCTCTGTTCTCATATAGGAGTCCCATGCTCACCGACGTCAGGCCCCCAAGTTTACACGACCATGGCCGCCGTGGTCTGACTGAGCGAACGTTTTCTCGGGTTTACGACATCGGAGTATACTGTGCGCGTCTTATGCCGCTCAATTATAGGGTTTGTCTCCGTTGTCTGGATCAATGAAATCCGACGCTCGTGGTGGTGGGCCTCCCTTTCTTATATTTTGGTGGATTCATTAGGAACTGTTCCTAGTTTCAATTGGCCATAATTGTGATCTCGACGCGCTCATCAAGGTACGAAGCGATAGTAACCATCCTTCCTGACATAATATGCTAACCACTGTTGGTCTCAAGGATCCATGTTTATCGTGTACGTTAGGCGTTCTGAATGCTACGAACTCGTTCCTTGGTCCTTGTTTAAGCGATCTTTCAAGATCGGCTTCAGAATCGATTGTGAGGCGTACAATCAGTGTTTGATCACCACGATATCGTGCTGTCATTGATTTCGTCTCTTTACTTTCTAAGATAATACTTCCATCGTATGTTTCCTCCGCTCTAAGAACTTGGCATCAAATCCGCTGATGCTTTGGCGTTTGTTTCATTCAGTGCACTCAATGGACCATGCCGTTCGTGATCGTAAGTTGTTACGACATCGTTCAGGACCACTGACGTGACAATCTTGACACATCCCTCTCGCCGCATAGACTGAATTAACGTTCTGGATGTCCTCTTCCGGGTGTCGTTTCTTGATATGCCGCATAGCCGATGTGGAGTGCATGTGAAGGAGGTGTGTGTACGTTACATGTCCATCCCTTCGCTCGGGAGATGGTAGCTCAATCATGATACCTCTGAGTGCGCGCTCCATTCCCACTGCTTCGCCATAGATTTATCTATTCTAGGAACTGGCTGTGTTAATGAATGCTTTGCCGCAGCTGGTGCCTATGTGGCAACTACACTTGAACGACAGAGGGCAATGTTGTGCTGTGATGAAAAAAAAGGTTTATTCTTATCCTTCATAGCCAATCAGGTCGATGATCTCCAAAGGGAAGAACGAGCGCACCGAAAGACCGGATTCTGATCTGGCATTCAAAATACGAACCACTTCTAAGCGAGGCAGACAGGTTTGGCCAACGATTCACAGGGCGGTACGTTCGGGCCGCACATCCAGGACTAATTGGTTGTTGAAACGCCTTCGAAGGTGAGTGAAATTCCCCGTTCCGTTCCTACTTCCAGCGGCGCATTATCTCATCCGCAGTACACAGATCTGTCTATTCTAGATGAGAGGTACATACGTTGAAGCAATGTCGGGCAAAGAAGCATTGGCCGGGGAGGCCACATGGATCGACCTTTTCGGAGCCGTTGACCAATCGCGTACGACACCGGAGCAGGGCCGGCAGTTTATTCACAGGAAAGGTTCGAAAAACGGGCTTTATTACCGTAGCAAAGTATACTGCTTCTTTGGTGGCTTGTTCTGATAGGACGATCTCGAACATTGGGTCAATAACAGGGTACTGGAATGTGGATGGCCACGCTTATCTGAGGACGCAGACGGGCCGTGAGGAGATTATTGCAACGAATGGCAACCAAGGTTCGTGTTGCAACAGTGATCGGTGGTACGAAAACTGACAGATTCACTTTGAGATGACATTGATTGGAAAAATCACTCCTCGGCCGCCTGCGATTACTGCATCGGGACATCGTGTGTAATTTCCCCAACTATTTAAATACCACGCAAATCCTCCGAGGTACTCCCTTGAACGACCCTCTTACGATTCATGCCCGCTGAGTTGACGGATTCCAAGATGAAACGACGAACGCGACGAAAGGGAACCGAAGACTTCTACAAGTTTGACAGCGCTCTTGCCCGAGAAGTCGAAGATAAACGTAGCAGAGGTTTGTCCTCTGCCGATTGTTGAGTATCATTCACTGACGTCAGTTTTCAGGAGAGGTGGGTACTTGCCGTCATCGTGCTCTATGCGCTCTGAAGTGCTTCAGGTGAGCTGCGCCGAATGTAGGCGGCTCAAAATCAAGTGCGACAAGCAGATACCATGCCAATCATGCCAAGTGAGGCATTTATTCGACGGCCCCGCGTGTTGCTAACACCATGTTCTAGCGTCGAGGTTGCGCTACCCTATGTCCTAACGGTACTAGAGCGACGTCCTCCATCCGTTTTCGCGTACTCATTTCTCGACATAGGCAGTTTATCGACGGGTCAAGGTACACGTTTTGTACTAGCGGCAACCGAGCACCTCCATCGGAAAGTTGCACGTCTTACTGGTCGAATACGTCAACTGGAAGATGCTCTATCAACGACGCAGGCTCAGTTCTCCGATGCTCCCCATCCACTACTCCATGATGACTTCGCGGAAAGCGAAGGTTCACCCTGCGCCGATGTACCTCTAGATATGTCGGAAATGGCTTCAATGACCGAGGTCCCGGATATGCACGGCACCCTTGCCGTCTCCGACCACGGTATCTCTCGATTCTTCGGACTCACCGGCGGATTGGAGGTGAGCGAGCGATATCTTTCAGCCCTTTCGTAGGCGTGTATCTAACAGTCTCCTACCAGAGTTACTTCCTCGCCTCTTCCTGTACGTCACCGGAGAGCGAAACCCATAGTCCGGACTCACGGCTTGGTTCTTTGAGCCCAACGTCAACGGTATCGCCAGCGAATGATCTCGCAGTTCTTTCCCAAGGTTTTCCTTTCTCCCCGGTGAGAAACAGTGATGATACTTACGACGTCATCCGGGACCATCTGCCCGTCTGGGATCAGGCGCTCATGTTGACGAGCGCTTACTTTGGACAATTTTCTTGGATCTTTCATGGTGTCGCGCGCGAGCAGATTGACGAGATACTGCCTGTTATCTACCGAAAGCAGAGCGCACCATCCACAGACGATGATCACACTGGTCCTCACGATCTCGCGCTGCTGTTCGTTGTATTGGCCATTGGGTCCTTGGTGGATGGGGAACGCGGCGCTGAACAAGCAGCACGCTTCCATCAAGTTTCCAAGGCGGCGATCTGTCTTCAGTCTGTCTTGGAGAAGCCGTCAATTGTCACTGTTCAGTGCCTTCATCTCATGAGTGTATACAACGCCATGAATGGCGGTGATGCGGCAAATGGTACGACTATGGAGACAACCTGGTCGTTGACTCATCTCGCTGTGCACTTGGGGCATACCGTGAGTCTTCTTTTCGTTTTCCTTGTTTCTTTCCTGACATCTTCCTTTTTAGATTGGTCTTCGTACGTTAATTTCATTTCGCACCCCAACATTAGGCTCTAACACCTTTCAGACCGCGACAGCGAACGCTGGGGTCTTTCGAACAAGATGATTCAACGTCGTCGTAACCTGTTCGTTGATCTTTACGTGGCAGATGCGTGGCAGGTACGCCGCCCCGAACTAAGTCGTTTCCTTCCACCTCAATGATACCTCTTAGAGTCTTCATACCGGTCGCCCGCCCTCATTCTCGATGGCATATTCGGATTGCCATTTCCCCGAGTACGACTCGAGTCAGGGAAGCCCCAACGACGTCCAGTGTAAGCTGATCCGCCGCTTATCTCCGTACTTTATCCGTGTAATGATGTCCTCAGTTTGCATATTCCAATTCCGATTCGCATCAGAATGCGTCTCTTTTGTGTTATCCCATACACTTACCGTCGAAGCGCCGACTTATGCGACCATTTTGGAACTGGATCGCAAAGTTCGCGATTACCCTCTGCCAGATTCTCTGTACCCGCAGGGCGATACACCGACTTCCTGGCAACGCTTTGTTCTTGATCATATTCGGGAGTCAGGTTTGTCCGACTTCTTGGTTGTATTCGCAGAAGCTAACATCTGCGGTATGCAGTGTTGATGTATGTCCACAGAAGCTACTTTGCGCAGGCCCTGATCGAACAGCCGGACAATCCGCTAAAGAGTAACTACGCGACCTCAGTACTGGTTACAATGCGGTCCTCTGCGACTATTCTTAGATGCGTTCGAGACCAATTCAGTCAATGGGATAGCGCCTGTGGTCGATATTGGGTCATGTGGACTTTAGCCTTTTCCGCAGCTGTATGTATCCCAGGTATTTACCTCGTAGACTACCACTCACATCGGATAACAGGTAGTTTTCGGTACCGTCGTCACGGGAGCTCCTCGGTCTCCGCTTGCCGGTTCTGCCATGTCAGAACTGAACCGCGCATGTGTTCTGTTCTCGAAAGCCGCAGTCCACAGTTCATATGCAAAGAAAGCTCTTGTACGGATGATTTAATTCCGTCGAGTTAGACTTCATTCTCACATAGCCAATAACAGCCGATACTCACCAAACTCAGCGAAAAGGCCCATCACGCCCTTGCAGCTGCGCAAAGTGATGCTACACCTATTTCCTCAGGGGACAGGGAGGGTTCATTATGGCCTATCAAAGCAGAAGATTCCACGGACGAAGATCTTCTGATATTTGCCGGACATACCCGGTTCCTCTCGGCCAAGCGTAGGACGATGACACGCGATTCTTCTACCTCCTCGCCCCCCAACGTTTTCCATTACTACGACGCTGATCGAACCCCTTCCTTCGCTGCAGAATATCAGCAGTCGAACGTGGCCCAATCTCATTACTCTTATTCATACGACCGAAGCCGGCCTGCCGGTCCACCGTCGACAATGTCGAATCCCAACTATGCTTTCAATTGGGCACACGAACAACAGCATCAAAGCCCCCATCTGCCGTCGACCGTTCCTCCTAGGCGTCTATCACGACCGTTGCTGACTGCAGATCGGGCCGAGCATCCAAGGGAAATGTATCTGATGTCACCGTCGTCCCCGTTAGGAAATATTCCATCGACCGATGTTAGCCTCCCCCCATTCGTAGTTCCCTCAGAGCCATGTCTACAGGAGCGGTGGTATTCGTTCCTACAGAATTCGGGCGTCATGGAGCACGACGCATTCAACTGATTTCTTTTGAGCCGCACGTATGTATTGTTGTAATTATACACGCAGTTTCTCCCTCCCATATTATTTGCGACGTTGTTTGCCCACCCATGGACGGATTGTTGTATACAAACTGTAGCTTGTATTCGGGTCGCTGTTTTGTATTCTTATCGCTTAATTATTGCCCTTGCCGTCGGGGGTATATCTAATTTATCACGTCTTGTTTTCACCGCACGACACCCCATCTTTAAGGATCATATGCCTACGATTGAATTTAGACGAGTGTCCAAGACTTGGACACTCGTTGGTCTAGTCTCTTCTGGGATGAGCTCGGAGTCTGCCACAATACTTTTCTGGTGGTGCCGCCGGCAGCCTTGAAAACTGTTCCCAATGAAATACACGGTTGTTCGCTGTGCTTCTTCATCCCTCGTGCCTTGTCAGGATGGGTCTATCATCATTCCATCTGACGGTGCCTTCGATTAATAGCGGTGGCTCAAGTTCACCAAACGTTCACCCTGCGATCACCCTTCAACTCCATTTCAGACTAACCTTGCTTGTATTATTTAAAGTTTGTACATCAAGGGGGAGCCCACAACTCAATGACGAAGGTATACCAACGAAAGCAACACCTCGCGAAAGCGGAAGCTCTGCTGAGGAGGGACTCAATGCTTGACTATACGCGATAGACGGATGCCGGATGGATTAAATGCCCCCACAGAAAAAGTCTTTTAGAATTACGAACCGATCACAAGATCGCGATCCGATTGTCAGATCGTTCGTACCTGGGCAGGCTGCGGTTTCAGTTCCGACATCGAGTGGCCTTCCACCACTTCATCGTCACCTGGTGAGCCTCCAAGGTCATGTTATATCAGAGGAACTTTAGTGTGGTTGGCCGACAGTGTCAGTCGGCATCCCGAGATCATTGATAAGCACGATTCAGTCATGAGGGATTGATTATTCCAACGGTAATTTATTCCCGAGCCGTACAATTGCGACCGCGATATTAGTCTGTGCTACATCAAAGCGGTCTATGCAGTACTGATGGTGAATTGAATAGAAATACTTAAACATTCACGGATGATTCCAGCGTGAGCGCATGGGTCATTGATCCGGATGCTTGTTTTGTCTCAGTAGAATTAAGCTCTATTATTCAGATAGGTTCGGCGCAGGCCGACTACGAGTAAATCAGTCACAGGTGCTGGTGGCGGAGCTAACTAAGCAAGTGAGTACTCTTAGAACAATTGTTCAAGTTGCGCTGTTCAGCGAGATGGTTCCTATCATACATGGACTTATTAAGGGCGTCTCGCCTTGGTCTCTGATGCTGAAGCACTCCTCCGTTTAGCTTAGTCCTTTCCACGAATGTGTTTGGATATGCAGACATCTGGAAATCTATGATCTCTATGAGACTGAGAAATGCCGCGAAATTCAGAGTTTTCCAAGTCCGTTGTAAAATGATTCAAATAAAGATTAGTTTGGCGTGAGGGAGTATTGACCTACAGAAGCGTTGGTATCACGGTCCGCAGTCCGACGCACGAGGTACATTGTCTCATGCCAAGGACTTCTTTCGTAACAAGACGCTGCTTCCTAATTGATAGTTCTTCGTCTCATCATCTTCAAGAATGCAAATGCACCTCACTTTCTCCCGGGGCGCCTTGGACCTGGACCCCCTCTGGCGATGTCGGCTTCAGAATCCTCCAGCCAGAAAGAATTCTTATCCAAGTCGGGTCGTCTAAATTTCTTTCAAGTAATACTGATGCGGTTGAAGCCGGACCTGAACTGGATGTTAAATGACCCTATATTCCTGACCCACTGGAGAGCTTGTGAAAGCAACGTTCGAGTTGCCAATGTCGGCAGTGAAAATATGTCCGTCATCACTGATCTTGAAGACCAGAACGCCACAGTTGCCTCCTCGATCAGGTGTGTGCGTGAGTGATTACTACCTAAGCTCGTTTCTGCAAATACAAATATGAATACTCACACAGTTGATGAACCTGCAAACAATGAACATCTTTCTGACTGATATGCCGGCAATATTGCGTATGGTACTCAAGCTTACTGAGGCATCTACTCTATTCAATCATCCTTGCATTTAGAGCGCTTCGTATTCTACTGCCACCTTGGGGACACCCGTTAAAGGACAAATTGCCGGAGTCGAGATACGTGCCACTACCTCACACCTTGGCCCGCTCCGTTACGTTTTCTTTATTGTTTCTCGGCGGCCTATCATCAATCGTCCACTTGTACCGCTATTTATAGGCTGATGTCTCGTCCGCCGCCATTTATCTGATTCGGCCGGGGCCGCTTCGCCCATTAGTACATTGGAAACTTGGCTCTATGAGAGGCCACAGGCAGTCGAGGTTCATGAGTATGTACATGTAATCCCACATTCTTCTGCTGTTCTGTGAAAGGATGGCGATAGTCCTGCCTTGGGGTTTCCCTACACCGGTCTAGAGCCGTCGATCCTGTAATTTACGCGAACCCCCAATTCAGTTCCCTTGGTCCTTCTGCTTGTTGCTATTCGCTCTGCTTGAGTGACTTTAGGAATAGATTCTTGATCAACAGCCAGTGTTCTCCTCCGCTGATTTTGTTCCCGTGGACATAGACGTTACGAGGTCAAGACACATTTCCCCCCCTGTAACTAGCTAAGTAACGCAAAGTGATTTGAAGTAGTGCCGTCCTCGATCAGTCATCATTCACGTGCATATATCTCCAGCACCCTTCGACCGCAGAGCTGGAAGTATTTTCTGACACAAGACTATCAGAAACTCGTACGATTGAATTCAAGCACCTCAGTCCTGCAGGACGTCACGAGGGAAAAACAGGATAAGATAAGTATAACCGTGAGTGAAAGGCGAATGAGGCAATATACCAGTCTAATAATGGATCTTCATAAGAAGAAAAAGAAAGTTTCAGACGTTGAACGCCTTCTCTAAAACCTTAAGATACCCGAAGCAAGAATATTAATGACGGAGTATGCTGCTGTATCTCAGCGGCCGTAAACCTATGTCGATCAATGTGAAGAGATTCAGTCCCAAGGCAAAAAAAGAAGAAATACTGCATACCTGACTAACTCTGACACGCTTCCCCTTCGGAGGGACAATAACACATCCTCCATCGGCGAGTGGAACAATGACCATCTGATTGGGCTTGGCGTGGATGACGCTGTATCTTGAACTCGTCAAGCTATTGGCTGAGTTAGGGACTGACAGTGCGCGTGTGTGCGACGAAGAAGTACAACTCGACGACGCCACAGAGGGAACGTGTCGAGACACGTGGCTCGGGATAGGCGCAGGGACGAGAGCGGGGGACGCCGACAGGCTGTGTGACAAAGACCGAGTGATATTAGATGACGAATGATGGATAGATGGAGTATCAACAGGAACAATTGAAGGAGTCTTCGCAGAACCCACGACTCTTCCCCCCAGTTGTGACGCACTATCGCTGGGGAGAACCGTAGGTGCTATTGACCGACGAGAAGAAGTATGCCGATATGTGGCGCTCGGTACATGCAAGGGCGGCGCGGCGAAGGGACGAGAACGGGAGGATGAATAGTGGAAAGGAGCGGCTGGGGGTGCTGGCGCGACAAAGGATTCCACTTTCAACCCCGAAACTGCTGCTGGGGGACCCTTGAAAGACGCATGAGAGGGCGTATGTGAAGACGGGTGTTGCATCCAGTCGGAAACATGGCTTTGGGGTGCGTGACGGCGAGCAGCCGTAGAGGGAGAAGCACCGTAGGCTGACATACGGGGAGGTCAATGGTGCAAATGCAAAATGGGTCCATCAGAGCTGTTCAGGAAAACAATGGCTTATCTCCGAAAGGTAAGTCGAAAGTCGTTCCTTTGATTGCCGTATATGCCGCGTTGCTATGGAGCCGGAGACCAGGATGTTGTCAATACACAAGGGCTATAGTATGGGTGCGAGAGCATGACGGTCTGCGTCATATTACATTTTTGAACAGAACGAAGCCAAGTCCAACATTTCATCTCCGAAGATATAACAAGGAAATTTCCAGCGGGTACGGTAACCTGTGACGTCGAGGACTCGAGGGACCAGGCGATCCACCTGATTAACCTTTTGTTCAACCTACTGTATAAAATGATCAATTCAAATGCGAAGCGATAGCGAAATTCAAATATTCGTACCCTCAGTCCCGAGATGCGTCTTCTGAACCGAGATATACCAATATAGCCCTAATGAATAGCACCGGTGCGGCGTTCCTATGATGAGAGGTTTCTAGGCTGTAGCACGAATATTGAGGGTATGAAACAACGATTAGGAACTGAGACGACCTTTTCACAACTATCCAAACATCGAGCCGCGGCGGTGGAGCTCTGCTGTAAGATGGAAGACGCCGGACATGATACGGTGGGGTATAGATAGGTAATCAGCCTGGCTGAAGTAGGCACATATCTTTAACAATCGACCAGCGTACGAGAGAATGAAGACCAACTCGGAGTGTACGACCCCACGGCTATCCGATATCGGTTCAACTCGGGAGGATATGAGCGATGATGAAACAAGGCCGACTGACATACGTACAAAAAGTATCTTGATACGACGAACTCTGATGATGTTGGACTATTGACCAGCGGAAAACTGCGGCAACGAGGGGATAGAAGAATGTCATATCCGCATATGATCTTCTCTCGTATCTCTTGTACCGTGTTCAATCACATGAGGGAGCGTGTTTGTCAGCCCGAGGAAACGGCTCGAGCATGGAGAACATGGATATGTTTATGGGGAAGGAGTAATTGAAAGAAATCAATCAGATAGCCCCCGAGGTAACTAGGAAACTGTCGCACTTACCGACATGGCTGGCTATGGGCGCCGGTGTAGAATACTATCTAGCAATTTGTTAGCGGGTAGCATCCAACAACGTCCACCACGATATCTCCATCGACCCTTCCTTCTGAGGGATGTTGCCAACACTATGCGGTGCGTCGGAAAGTTATTTGGCAACTGGGCAAACAAACCGCAAACACCGAGCCAATGAACAGTACTTCCTGCCAGGGAAGAAATAGTAGCACATTTCATATCGGACGCTATTGGTGTGATAAGAGTCACCGGTTAAAGGAAGAGAGAGTACTTTTCCATCTTTGAAGAATGCGGTAGGAGATGCGGAGTGAAACAATTGATAATAACAGGAAGTTCTGGCGTATGGTGACCGTCACAGTCGAGCGGAATTACCTTACAGCATCAAGAAAAATACCTTTGAGAAGGAGATCTCTTACAATGGTACTTGGAACCGGGGGCTGGTCGAAGATGATATTTTCGTTGAGGAAGGGCTGGCCAGAAGATAAAGGACTTGAATGAATTCGAAATTCCTGGCAGCCAAGATATAGACTTTTCAGAAAATATGTGGATATCTGTAAATCCTTCAACGCTCCTGAGCAAAGGGTAGCGGTGGATTCGAAAGGTGAGATCTTGGGAGTCGAAACGTAAAGGTCGGTCCCTGAGCTTGTCTGCGACCCTGTTCGGCCATTTCGGCACGGCAGCCCCTCGTTGGTTCGAACCACGATGTACTCACATCGTACTTTCCTTGTCCTTATCTGGCTTCGAGAGTGCGAAAGTACGACGACCTCTTTTCACTAATTTATCGAGACTACGCACACTGAGAAAGGCTATCCGCCGTCAACAGAGATACATGCAAAAATTGCTTTGGAAATGCCTTCCAACAGGTGCTTTGAACTTGGTCTTTGTAATTCGCTGCCTTCTTCGCCACCTTGTTCTATCAAGTGTCGAGTTTTGGAACATTATCTGGGGTAAAGATCAGTGGGATACGATTCTGGCCTCCCAGACTTAAGCTGGAAGATCGTTCCTCCCTGCACCTACATGCTATACTCTAATATTTTTATTTTTCAGCTGAGAAGTACGGGAGTCCGCTTTTGTCGATTCCTCAGAGGTCAGAAGACCAGTGACAGGTCGACCATTATAATCCTTAGAATAAATGGTTCGGTGTATGCCGTTCTTCTTGGGCCAATCTTCGTTCCAACTTCCTACTGAATTAAAGATATGATTTTAGCTTTTTAATTCATATGCAATTACAGCGAGGACTCGAAAACGACGAGACTTTTTGAATTAAGTTAATCTCCTCAGAGTCGCTGATAAGAACTGGCAAGACTGAAGATATTTTTGTGAAAATAGGATTTACTATCGCATATTAATCACCTCCACTCGAGACTGACAGGAAATTGGGAGTAAGTAGTATCATTATTAAGATAGTTTTAGGTGCTGGAAGCTTACTTCATTCATGACGTCCAGCGCCTTTCAGGCCATAGGTTTACTCCTTCCTCATATCAACATCGCTAACAGACATTCTCGCTACCATTCGAGTTGGACCTCCGATGTCTTTCTAATTGATTTTTACAGAAATGAGAAACGACTCGTACTCTTCAGTGTCGGAAGACCCAAAAACAATCCGCCTATGGCTCTTTTCGGATTGATAAAGAGCTATATCTTCACAAATATTAGTAGTCGCTAAAATGCTTGTCCCATGGGGAAGCACCAGGCACCGCCCAATGCAAACTTCAGCAATACTATTACCCGGGAGATCAACAACCCTTGATCACAGAGTTCGGCCCTATCAAATCTAAGGTCAAAATTTAAGGCACGGGAGATCGACATCCTCTTCAGGCAAAGGGTTACACGTCGGATTCTCCCTTGATCCTTGAAACCTTGGCGAATAGAATATATATCAGAACGGATTGTTCAGTGGGAAAGCGACACATGTGGTGTTTCAACAGCAAAATTATCATTCGAGGTACAAATCTTCTTAAGAAATGCCTAGAACATCTGTCTGTACCATTATAATTGGGTAGTGCGAAAATATCGCAACTTACGGTTCAACAGTGGAGGACATTAAGCGCGATATTTCTCCGACTGGTATAGAGACATAATTTCCAGGCCATTTTTTACTCGTTCCTCGCGCAGGAATGGTTCATCAATTTGTTCTTCAGAAAAGGATCAAGACTGCATATAGCGCTTGAACCCATGTACAAGGGCGCCGGTATTGAAGAGACGCAGTAGTCTCACCTCGAACTGCGTCGAAGGGGACCGTTTGAGAGAGAATGTCGTATGCTCGGAATCATTCTATGTTTCGGAAAGCCTAACGTTCTCAGCCTCTCTGTTAATAGAGGATATCCCCGAGGGTGGCCAGCGCATAATAAGGAGGTACGACAACGTTATTTGTGGGGGGCATGCAATTCCGAAATGGATGCTAGGTTTGTTGTGGTGAGTACGAGTGACATAAAATCCGCATGCGACCCTGAATTTAAAAAAGCGTTGTGTGAACCTTTCCATGTGCAATGAAACAGGGATCCATCCAGCATGCAGTTAAAGAAGAAACGAAGAAACCTTTCCGGAGAGGAAACGAGTGTCCGGGAATCATTATGTGTTCGAAACCGCATGGTCGGCACAAGCAACAATAGGCAATTACCTTCGACTGAGTAGTGTATAAGTCCAAATGAAGCTTAACGTTGAACGATAACATGGATATGAAGGTCTGATCGACTCTTTTTGAATCTTAGCTTTCAACTGCAAACCCACACCGGTGCTGTATGCTGATCAACCTAAATGAAGCTTTCCATCTGAATGAAATGACAATGCCGCTACCTACCCGTTGAATTAGGTCTCTTTCCGTTCCGAACTGAAATGTAGTGATATCTCTGAGGCTATAAGCATTATCATTCTATTTGATGATCTTTCGTAGCATAACGTTCTGCCCCATATCGCTCAAGTTGATGAAACAAAAAAAGGTGGGAAGAAAACCAACTTATTCGTACACGGTGGGCTGCTTCCTCCACCTGGGTAACGGAAAGGAGAGACTGCAATGCCTTTGACTCTAAAGTGATGAGAAACTCCAACACATGCGCCCGCTTTTGAATAGGACGGATGCAGTGGCTAGCGGCAAATATTTAGGACGCCAAGAGAACTACAAAGTCCAAAATTATGAACGAAAACGGCAGCGGTGTAAGGAGATGCGGACTTGGCTTGTTTAGCGTGTGACGTCTGAAAAATTTATTTGAGGCTTTGATTGACCGCGACTTTAGTAAGTGCCTTGACGTACCTCAGCGACCGGAGATGTTGGCACAAAATACCCGACGATCACAATTTGTTGGGTACTTCACTCTTCAGTAACTTGAATTCTCCGCCTACGATGGTCGAACAGTCAGCTCCGAGAGGTAAGGGAATTCCAGGTAGCTACAGGCAAACATACTGCTGCGGTACGATGATCGCTTTTTTTTCTGGGTCAATGGGTCTGAGAGAGGTCCGCAGTCATGAACGAGCTAGAAGAAAACCAACAAACAGCCATTATGAACGGGTGTACCCACTACGTTGACTGCATCGGAGTTCGATCACCGAACATTGCAAGATGTCTTACTGTTCGATGCCCAGCGATACGGAGATATTCTAGGAGTATAAAATAATAGAGAGTAGAGTATTCATCAGAGGACAGAAACGATTAAGCCGGTCCATCTCATCGATGAGAAGGTAGATCCAAAACCGGAGGACCTGTTTTCGAATGACAGGCACTTGAAGAGCAAGGCTCCATTTCGGTAACTTGCGGTGACGCTAAGTCTACTGAGACGTTCGGGCTCTCCATTTGTCGCATGAAGAAAATATTAGATCAGGTATCTGCAAGCATAGCCTGGGTGAAGGCACATTTCAGGATATCCTCCTTTGGTTCGTTATATCCTCTGGGCATGCAATGAGAATCAGAAAAACAGTTTCAATTGAATGACGAAGACAGTAGCATCAAAAAATAAGAGTTTTACATGAGCAGAGAGTGACAGAGGAAGGGAAATTGCCGATTGTCGAAAAGAAAAAAAGGATCTAAAAATAGACTGGGTCCTCGGTTCGAACCACGACGGACTGATTTCATGATTTTCTGACCTTCTGCTTGCCTGAAAATCAGCGAGAAAAAGAAGGAAAGGTTCAGCTGGGTATCACTATTACATAGAGCAAGATGCACAAAAGAATATCCAAAGTGATATTGGGACCGTCTCGCCAGCTACAGGAGAAAGAATGAGAGAATGCCAGTGAAAACAATATGAACAACAGAAAAGTATGAGCATCATTCCTATTGTGCACATAATCACAGAGAGACTGAGCCCGACCCAGCGCTCACAAAGTCAAGACCTATGACGGACAATATACATATTAAGAACTGTACAGTGAGACTACGAATATTCAAGTCAGAGTGACAAAAGTCGTTTAGGAGTTTGCTTTTATCCCTTCCTGCTGCAAGAACCATTCAGCAGCTTCGCCTGGAATGGAAGGACAAAACGTGCCTTGGGCCAGAGCTAAGCCTCCACGGATGAGCACATTCCGGAATCACTGCAAGGCTGTGAGGCCGTTATCGACAGTTCAGAACTGCCACATCGAGGCTCGAGCATTCTTTTGTACCTCCTTGTAAGAACCCTGTCATCGCATTAAGTGTCTTTTCAATGTCAACAGGGTATAGTCTTCCAAGAAACATATCAGTTCAAATTCAAGATAGACCCCCATCAGAATCGTAGTTCACAGAAGTACGGCCGCAGCACTCACGTCTGACATTAATCAGACACAGACGCATTTCCATAACTTGAGTGCCTGCAGCAGGTTAAGTTGATGGTTGACCGAGCCAGTGAGCCAGAACACGAGAAACAATGACCCACTTGCGAACACTTTCCCTTTTTTAGGAAGACTGCGCTGATCAAGTTCTATTCGCATAAGAAACAACATCAGATAAGAGAAACAGGGGCTGAAAGTTACCGTGTATCTGAGGAATAATAAATAATCACCCGACAACTTGAAGTTTGCTGAGGAGCCGAGCGACTCAGAAGGGAATATTAAGTTTGTGATAGCAAGTGTCAGTACTTCGCAGATCCTCATGTGACTCTGAAATAAACGTTTTGTAAACCTTTCCATTCGAAAGCAGTATCATTCATACCCTCTGAATCTACAAGGAAAGTTTCACATTTCCTAGCCTGGAATAAACCAAAAAGAAATACATTAGGAAAACACCAGGTCTGGTCCCGAGGAGAGAAATATGAGGATGATATAGCTATCATCATGTCCACAGCAGTGAGGATGATCAAGAACCAGAGGATGAAGAATAGGATGGCACGTACTTTACAGTCTGCTATTTGAGTCTCGGTACTCACTGTTTTGGGATAGGGACAGGAGACATGGCAGGTGAATCAGGGAACAGAAGGTGGCCAGGGGTAGTGATGGTGAAAGTTGTAAATACATCGAGTTGTTATTTCTTTTGCATGTGTATTATATAACCAAATGTGACCTGGAGTTTTCAGAGGACTAGTATACCCAATGATATGGTCGTAAGCTGACAGTGTTCGATGCACAGTGATGTATTTTGGATGTTGAAATGTTTGGAACATATCCTACTGACAGCAGGTACATCTCAACGTTCACAGCCTCATATGGAGATGATATCCTACTTCAGCAGTATTCTCTTCTACGTATATTCGCAGAAGCTTAAAAATGATAAAGGTACACACATGTTTTCACCTATCTTTATGCATTATATCAACAATGACATTAAGGATATTTGCACTAAAGGTCAAGTCGACGCTATACACCCTTATTCTCCTTCTGTCCATGCTACCGAACTCATAAGATATGGGTTCTTATCTTTCAATGTTTGTCAAGTTTCCATTGCAAATGATATAGCTCACATTGAAAAGGAGCTGCAGAAAATTGAGCCTCTGTTCCACAAAATCCGAGATCAGTGTGATAAACTGCTCAAGGACTTGGTAGTTGTAGGTTCCTCCTGGCTCCGATACAGCGTTTGCCTTGAGAATCATTGCTCGAGATATTTGGCCTCCCTAATATCCATCTATCGACAATATGGCACCACGAGTGGTTCACACATCTCTTTAACGACTTTCATTTGTCCTTACTCAGAAAAATACATGTCAGGTCATCAAGATCCTAATAAATTTGGAATGCTTAATGCTTCTGGTAGTTTCAAATCCTCACACTACAGACTGAGCCACTGGCTGGTACCCTGCCCAGGGCTTTGAAGTTCGTCGAATACTGTCATATCATCAATCTCTGATGGCCATGAATACAATTTGACCCACCTCACATTCTCATTCTTATAGGTAGGCGGTACATGAATTGCTCAGAAGAACCTCAGAAGCAACCCTAAGTTAGGGTTTAAAGCAACAGCAGTACACAGAACAGCAGTGGTGGGACTGCGAAATACGACGGATGCCTTGCTCTGTGGATGGACCATGCACAGGCCAGTACCGCGAACTCACAGCGGTCCCTCTTGTGCATGGTCCATGCACTTTGGTAGGGGGCATGTCTGTTTCGTGGTACATGAAGTCTATGGCCATTTGCACATGACATGGGTGTAGGGAGTGCATTTGTTTCGCGGTACATGACTGAATCTCGAAATATGCACATTCTTGTCATTTAGATTCCACGTAGGTAGCGTGTACAGTCCGCAGTACATGACCGAATCTCGAAATATGGCCATTCTTGCCATTCAGAATTTGCGTAGGGAGCATATACAGTCCGCGGTACATTACCAATTCTCGAAATATGTCCATTCTGGTGTTAGGGTTAGGGTTAGGGTTAGGATGGTGTCCTCCCAACGGCTTCGCCGAAGGGAGGACACAATAATCGTGATACGACTCACCGAAGCTTTGGGGGCTTGGGATTGTGTGAGTGCTGCTTGTAAAGCGAAGCTGGGTCCAACAGAGAGATGGGGGAAACCATCTCTCACCCTGTTTCGCTTTTATAGCTCTTCAGGGACCTGCTTCATAAGCGATATGACTCATGCCAAGAGGTTGTTGGACCAATCAGCTACGCTTTATCAGCAATCATGCAATCCACAGCACAAGTGGTGTGATACGGTTAGTAATTAAGGTACGAAGTCGTACCATTTATTATTCATACTTGCTTACTCTGCGGGTTCTATTTAACCGGTTAGTCATACCATCTGACTAGTTTATCCATTTTGCCGTCGGCTACTAAGTTAACCAGGCCCGAGGGCCTAGAACCTAGCCGGCTTTTCGCCGATCCGGGGGCCGGTCTTCACATGACGGACGGTTAGGTCCGGGTTAAGGTCCGGGTTCCAGTTAGAGTTTCGGGCTGAGTAAGCATTATTAGTATAATTTATTAATGCGTGACTGCGGCAACGATTAAGTTGTCAGAACATACTTAGGGTTAGGGTTAGTCCACTGGCAGACTACCTGCCATCCATGCCGAGCTTTTGGCATGTTTATGTACGTCCCTAATAAAGGAGTCTTTTTCAATTTTATATAGCGAACGAGTTGTTTGAATGGTTACTGACGGACACAAGAGCCCGACTTGATTTAACTGTTACCCCCAGCGGATTTTTATAACAGTCCAACTACTAGGTAACTGCACCATCTAAAACCGGGTTAGCCGCACTGTGATCCTAGTCTGCCACAACGACAGAGCCGCGACGGAGTCACATCAGGATGTGCCCATAACCATATCTATGAAGACCTGCGGATCAATGTCACTTCCGTCTGAATCGTCACCAGCAGCAGACGAATCGGAAGGTGGGACATTTTGATCTGAGAATACTGAATCTTCATCAAACTTTCGGAGTACGATCTTTTTCCAAAGACCGGTCATATCGAACAGATTTTTAGTACGTTTCTTACTAACAATAGTTCGTCGGTTTAAAATACCAATTGTTCTGGTATCCAGCATGCCAACAGGGCCTACTGGGGTTTCAACAGCCATCAATAGACGGTTGTCTACCTCCGACGGTGGGATGTCTCCATACAGCACCGACATATTATTCGGCGCAGTGCTGAGGCGCTCGATTCTTTCGATTCGGTCGCGCCAGGTATTCAATATCGTATCTCCGAGCTCTCTCGCTTTGAAATAATTCCAAGCCGTATTATATGTGGACTTAAGAACCAACACTCCGTCGTCATCTCCCCTCTGGGCAGCTACGCCCAATCGGTTGCTCCAACGTGTGGTTATATTATCTTTCGCCCATTTATACACATAATCTGCAGGATAGCCGCATGCGATGTATAAAGCATTTAAACTTTTAATAGCATCTTTGTAGTGCTCATGAGTGCTTATAGGTAGGCGGTACACAAATTGCTCAGAAGAACCTCAGAAGCAACCCTAAGTTAGGGTTTAAAGCAACAGCAGTACACAGAACAGCAGTGGTGGGACTGCGAAATACGACGGATGCCTTGCTCTGTGGATGGACCATGCACAGGCCAGTACCACGAACTCACAGCGGTCCCTCTTGTGCATGGTCCGTGTGCTTTGGCAGGGGGCATGTCTGTTTCACGGTACATCAAGTCTACGGCCATTTGCACATGACATGGACGTAGGGAGCACATTTGTTTCGCGGTACATGACCGAATCTCGAAATATGCACATTCTTGTCATTTAGATTCCACGTAGGTAGCGTGTACAGTCCGTGGTACATTACCGAATCTCAAAATATGCACATTTTTGTGTTTTAGAAACTGTGTAGGTAGCATATACAGTCCGCGGTACATTACCAATTCTCCAATTATCACCATTCTTGTCATTTAGCAACTGCGTAGGTAGCATGTACAGTCCGCGGTACATGACCGAATCTCGAAATATGTCCATTCTGGTGTTTTAGAATCTGCATATGGAGCGCATGCAGTCCATGGTACATGACCGATTTTCTTTGCAGGCTTCTTTTCATCTGTCGGAGTGAAAATAGCACCGTAACAATTTGTTCAATTTGCTATCATGTCTTTTGTCAATATACTTTGAAATGGTCAGAATATGTCACTAATTGTTTCATTGACATTGTATTCCAACATCTTCTTTGCTCCCCTTCTCCCTTTGTCAACTTCGATGCCGACTGGGCGACACAATGGGCTCCCCCAGTAGCATCCCTCTGTTCCCTTCCATAGTGATCGGTTCCCTTTCATCTGTTATTTGCCTTCTGATGTCCGGCTCCGCTTCATCCTCTGAGGATTCCTCTTCTTCTCTGCGCTCTCGGAGAATGCGATCTTCTCTTTCCTGCATATCCATCTCTTTTTGCTTCTCTCTTTCTTCCCTCTCAATTATCGACATGATTTCCTCTTCATCCTCCCTCTCCTCCCATTCCTCAACATTCTGCAATGCTGGCATGTGGCCACTCCTAATATCAAATCTCCAGTTCTCTATCCATGGATTCCGGATGAGGCAGACTGCTGAACGTGGTAGATCCTCTTTTCGAACTCATTCTGGTTTAATCAGTTCCCCTCCCGACTTCTCATAAACACACACCCATGTGCTATCAGACCAAACACACCACAGGAATTCATCAAATGCCCTCTTCAGTGCTCTTCGCATATCTTCCACTTGTCGTGAAGAAGACATATCATGCACAAATCCTTCCCACATCTTTATTGATTTCATCTTTCCCCAGTTACTCCGTGCAGACCATCGTTTCCTAGCATTCAGTTCATTCAGAGTCCGGAAGATGTTGTCAAACAGTGAATCCCACTGGCTCTCTGTTCCTTCATACATTCATGCATGTGTCAACACTCCTCCAAGATCATTTTCTTTCATGATACGGATGTCAACCATCCGCCATTCATTCTGTGTCAGAGGAGAATGTTCCCATCCACATTTCACCCATCCAACCTTCTGCAGCATGTCAGACACATATTGCTGTAGTACTTGATTCAGAAATGTCCCGGCATGCTCCGGATATTGTTCATCATATATCCGGTCCTGTGGTGGCAGATCGGGCCCATAGTTATATGATTTTTCTGGCATTTCTATCCGTCGAGCTAGCCTTTCTGTCTTCGGCATTGGCCCCTCAGGTCGACCCTTGGCTTTCCTCGTGCACCCTATGACCTGGCCCATTGGCTTCCATTCCACCAATTGTCGCTGCTTCATGCGACTATCTTCAGAACAGAACTCATTCAGCATCTTTCTAATGCCCAACAAATTCCAACCTGCCTCACTGGGCACTTGGATGACACTCTCGCATTGTGGTATTCTTGTACCACCTCCATTCCATGTTGGCCACGCAATCACACTGCTCGGAATCCACTAGAGTCCTCTCTCTGCATATGGTCCTGGCTCATCTGTCCCGTCTCTCTTTCGCGTGCATGGAAGGATCATGTGATGATCTTCCTGCCAGTATGTTCGCGGCCAGATGGCATGCATCAACATCTTGTGTCCTGATCGCTCTTCTGGCCATGCATGAAGCGAATTCACCATAAATGCGACAAGACATGTCAGGATGACTGGATAGTAATGGTGTCACATGTCTGTGTTGTGCTCTTCATTCTGCCACTGGATCAATGTCGCAAATCCGAGAGCTCTGGCAGATTTAAATTGCCTGTGGATACTATTAGCCCTGATCCTCATCATTATATAGCTTCTAGAAATGGGCTCACCACCAGTCTTGTCGTGGAACACAATACACCAGATCCAAGAAGCTCGCAACTGGAACATCTGCGAACACATCTTCCGCATTAGCCAGTGGGACTCATGCCTCAATCCGTGCGTGTACATCGTTATGCCATGCTGCATCTGCGAAGACACCGTATAATTTCCCAAGAAACTCATTGTATGTGTACTTTGACTTCTTCATCAGATTAACTGCTGTAACAAACTTGGCATTATTGCTTGCCCGCATGTCATAGGTAAGGCATTTATCGGTTGTGTACATCTGGACAAAGGTTGCGTTGAATTGTCTGAGCGGTGTGGTATGTGTTGTGATGTGACATCCTGTGACAGAGGTGAGATGTGCACATGTATCCCGTTTGTAATTGTAGTAACCGAAACGCGTCCACTTGTCGGCTTCGGTCCGATGCATTTGCAGTAGTCTCTGTAGCGCGACTGCATGGCCGTCAGAGCGCCACATAACTGCTCCCTCCTTCACAGACAGCTCGAGTGCAACGTCAACAAAGACATCATCACCAGGAGTACTGAACATGTCGGCATTGAATACATGGTCCTGGCGCAGGAAGTATTCTCGCTCAGTTGCATTGCTTGGGTCATGCACTGTCAATGCCTTGATCCCT